TTTTTTTAGAAAGAGTGAGAGAGAGGGAGAGAGTGGGAGAATTTTAATATTTATTTTTTTTAGTATTTGGCGGACACAACATCTTAGTTTGTATGTGGTGCTGAGGATCGAACCCGGGCCGCACGCATGCTAGGCGAGCGCGCTACCGATTAAGCCACATCCCCAGCCCCTCTCTGTGGCCTTTTCTGGCCCAGTATTGCTTGCTGGAACTTCCAGTGCAGTGTCGAGCTGCGGCGTTAAAAGCACACCCTTGGCTTTTTCCTGATACAGGAGAAAGCTGTCTCCACTGAATGGTATCAGCTGTGGATTTTTCATAAAGGTCCTTTCACCGTGTTGAGCGCATACTCCCAAGAGAGTGTCGATTATGTCTTTTGGCCCTTTGGTTACAGGTCATCTGGCTGCTTCACCATCAAGTCTCTATTCTGTAATTGTCAGTACCAGGTCCTTTCTGAGTGCCTTTACAGGCTGACACCAGCAAGCTTAAGGACCTCGTGAATAGCTTATGTAGTGTTTTTCCTAACAGGAAAAGAGCAGCCACTGTGCCTGTCCCTCCAGGGCTGGATATGCCCTCCCAGCCCTGTGACAGCTGGTTCTCACGTGTTCTCTTTGCATTGACAGCCTGACTCGGATTCCACCAAACACTCAACTCCCTCAAACAGCTCCAACCCCAGCGGCCCGCCGAGCCCCAACTCGCCCCACAGGAGCCAGCTCCCCCTCGAAGGCCTGGAGCAGCCAACCTGTGACGCCTGAGACTACCAGAGCACCACGGTGGGGTCAGGGAGCCGGGATAGCCCCAGCATCAGTGCCAAGACTGAGCTGACCCTCCAGTGTTGTCCAAGGAAATGTAGATCCGTTTGTAGATATGGAGATGGAGAAAAGTCTTTATTAGAGTAATGGTCAGTTTTACACCACGTCATGCGTGGCATAGACCAGATCTGTTTGTCTGCACAGCCGTGAGGCGACTCTTCTGTTTGCACATGAAGGACCACCACACACTTCCCTCCCACCCAAAGCCAGCCGGGAAGGCTGTGGGGTGCTGCTGGCTGCCTCAGTAGAGCCCCCTGAGAACCAGCCACTGGGGACAGCAGGCGGCTGGGGACGCAGCCTCAGGGCCTAGTCTCTACCCTGGCTCCTGAGGCTGCGTCTGAGACCAGAGGGCAAGAGTAGGAGCCCTGAGTCGTTCCCAGCGTCACTAGCGTTTGAGGACAGGAACGTGGAGGTCAGCTGTGGAAGTCCTGGTGGTGACCGTGTCCCTGTGAGCAGAGTACTCTAGGTCACAGCCGTGTGGTGCCAGCAGCACCAGCGCCACGAAGGCAGCTGCACTTCCACTTGCCACCAGGCGCCCGCCTCCTGCCACAGCCAGCGTCACCTACAGGCACGCCCTGTGGCCTTCCCTTTCCGCCCTGCATGGAGCCCCGTGATTAGTAGCCCGTGTGAATCACGTAGACTCGCCCAACACTCCTGCACATCAGCCCAGCTCACAGCGCGTGACGCCTGTGCGTTTAACCTCACCCCTCTGTGTCCCGTGTTGAGTGACCAGGTCTGTGGCCCTGTCTCACTGAGGCTTGTGATTCACTGTGGTAGCAGATGCAGCTTGTCACAGCTGGAGACTGGGCTCCCATCTCCCACAAGGTGCGCTTGGCTGGGTGGGCACTGAGGGATGTGGCACCGCTGGCTGTCACACCCAGCACCTGCCTGCCCTCCCCGCCCTCCTGGGCCTCACGCTGGGCGGGCACCTGCTGGGGGTTCTGGTTTTTACTTTTTTAATGTAAGTCTGAGTCTTTGTAATTATTGAATTGTGAGAACATTTTTGAATAATTTACCTGTCAATAAAGCAGGAGATGGCAATTTTAATGTTCCCAGTGGTTGGTTTGGGTTTGATGTTGCCCTAATTGCCTGTACTGCCAGGAGAACCCACACAGGAAGTGCCTCCCGGAAGGTCCATGGTGTGTTGCCCTGTCCACAGAAGCTGTGCTGTGGTCAGTGTAGAAGTCACATGAAAGGCCACTGGGCTAAGCAGAAGAGCATGACCTGGAGGGGCTGCCTGTCCACGTGTACATCTCAACTCCCCAGCAGAGGGCGACCTGGAGCAGGTGACCGACCCCCTGGCCAGGGATCAGGAGCAGCTTACAGTGAATCAGGTGATGCCTGCCGCTCATTGGGACCTCCAGCTAGTCCATCCTTGGTAAGATGAACACAGCAAGGGCACCTGCCCAGGCGTGTGGCCTGAGGATGAGTTCAGAGAGCAGCCAGCTGGGTGGCGGGCAGGGCTGGGGACCTGGGAAGTGCCCGCTCTACTGTGATGGCAGCAGCTACCCCCAGCTCTGTGCTGCTCTGCAGTCCACATTGGCCAGTGGCCTGTCCTGAGCCAGGGGAGCGACAGGGCGAATTTCAGGCAAATCAGCCCTCAGGGTCCTGCCCACAAGAGGTCGGCATTGATCTGTCCCCATTTCCTTGGCAAGCTGAACACCACACCGTCTGGGGGGGCATGCAGCCTTCTTCCTGTCCCACTGCAGACCTGGTGGGAGCAGTAGTGGGCACGCAGGCATAAAGGGCCCTATGAAGACAGAGAAGTAGAGCCCTCGGGGTCCATGGGGTGGGCTGTCAGCTCCACCCTACATGCCTGTCCTCAGGCCTCAAACTGCCTCTGGTTTCGGCCAGTTTGGAAATGCTGTGGTAGACTGTGGCATCCACGTAGGGGAACAGCATGTGGCCAGAGTGACAGACTGCAGCCCAGCCAAGCAGGCCACTACCCAAGGGAGGCCAGGCTATGCCAGGGCCACTCTGCTTCTGCACAAGCTGCACGTGGCAGGTCCGCGCCCTTGGCGGTGTCTGCGTGCCCTTGCACATGTGCACAGTTGTGGTCTGCCTTCCCACGCTGCAGTCCCAGGGCACCTGGCTCCAGCTCTGGCAGCAGCCTGCTGGTCAGCCATCCTCGGGGGAGGCGCGGCCTCACTCTGCGGTGATACACTTGAAAGCTGTGGACTCAGAATGCAGCCAATCTTGTCAAGTCCCAACCAATGGAAAAATGAAGTTGGAGGCTGTGAAGCAGGGGACTCAAGTGCAGCCTGCCTGAGGAACAAGACCACTGGACCAGAGCCGCACAGAGGCTGAGGCTGCCCCGCCTCACACCAAGTGCCCTTGCAAGAGGGTGGCCCTGTCACTTGGTAGAGTGCCCTTGCATGTTCGGGGCCAGGATTTCAATCCCCAGGGAATAAAAGAAAAAAAAAATACTGTCCACCCGGCAGTTGTCCCTCCAGTTCCAGCCTATAGCCACCCATGTCAACCCTCCCAGCCAAGGGTCCCTGTCTCAGTCTGACATGATGGCCACTCAGAAGTCATTTCCTCTAAAACCTCCCCCTTCCTAAATCCTCTTTGAACACAACTATAGCTTGCTACGGCACCGTGTCCCCACTGCAGCGTTCTGTCGTCCCAAACATTCCTTAGAGACTCTCTGGTGGGTATTTAGGTGGACACACCTGGTGTCAGCAGTGGACCTGAAGCCAGGAGCGGGCAGATGGCTCCAGGAAGCAGGCGTGCTGTCCACACTGGACCTTTGTGCAGTTCTGGGGCTGGCCCTTTTTTGCCCTGCTGTATCCTCTTGGGCTGGACTCCCCCTTTTTCATAGAGGCTCCCTGCTGGCTTTAGGATAAGCCCTTTTGGGTACACAAGCCCACTCAGCCAGTCCCTGCCCATGCTTATTCACATTTCCTCAGAACTCTGCCAGGACTTGATGTGTCCTCTGGTGAACTGCTTCCGGTTTGTGTGCCCAGTGGAATACTTCATGTGACCTGCGTCTAATTGAAGACTTGTGAGCACCTTTATTTTGGTTTCACTTTGGTTACAGGTGTCTATAAATGATTCAGCTTCTTTACTTTTCTCCCTACTTGTTTCTGAAAATCTTCCAAGAGCAAAATAAACATTGTAAAACAGGTGGACATGGGGACAGGGTGGCCACTCAAAAGCCATTAGCAGGTCCCACCAGCCGTGAGAGAGTAATCTCTAGGTGCAGCATGGTGATTGCCTGGTCATAGGCAGGTGAGGTGCCCACTGGGTGCCTGTCAGACACAAGACAATTTCCTTGCAGCCTGGACAGTGTGGTCACAGACAATACTGGCTGGCTGTAAGTAGAGACTCCTGTGCCAGGTGTGCTCAGCAAAACAAGGATTTCTGCCCACACCCGCAGCTCCCGGCAGGGCTCGGGTTTTCCATGCTTTGGGAGACACGTTGGGAGATGGAAACAAAGTGGGACCCCAAGGTTTCAGAACACAACCTCACCCTCCAGGGACTCCAGCCACCTCAGAGTGGTCCATTCCTGGGCATCTTCTGGCTGCACGTCACTGGAAGACAATTCTTAAATGTGTAATTATACTGCTAACGTAAAGGCTCTCTTCCGGTGCCTATTTTGAATCTGACTTTTCCATTTTATTAAGAAAATGGGGTTGTGGCTCAGTGGTAAAGTGCTTGCCAAGCATGTGCAAGGCCCTGGGTTTGATCCTCAGCACCACATAAAAATAACTAAAATAGGGCTGGAGATGTGGCTCAAGTGGTAGCGTGCTCGCCTGGCATGCGTGCGGCCTGGGTTCGATCCTCAGCATCACATACCAACAAGATGTTGTGTCCACCGAAAACTAAAATATTAAAAATTCTCTCTCTCTCTCTCTCTCTCTCTCAAAAAAAATAAATAAATAAATAAATAAAAATAACCAAAATAAAAGTGCTGTGTCCAATTACAACTAAAAAATAAATTTAAAAAAAAAAAAGAAAAGGGCTGGGGCTAGGGCTCAGCAGTTAGAGCTCAGCACCACATAAAAATAAATAAATAAAATAAAGGTATTGTGTCCAACTACAACTAAAAAATATTTTTTTATAAAAAAAGACAAAAAAGGGTAATCCCAAGCTTTAAAGTTTTTTTATGGCATTTCAGTCAAGATGGGAAAACCTTTCAAAATTAATGGTGTTGTAATTTACCATAGCTCCGCAGCAATCTAGACACCAGAGAGTCACCCCCTTTTAGAAATAAGAATTTTGGTTTGCCTGCAAACACTGGCTTAGGGTGATGAAAGAGTTAATTAAATGATTATTAATCTAAAAGGAAACAATGAGAAAAGTATTTTTTATATAGGGTGGTCAAAATCTTGTACTTAGAGCCATAAGAAAAGATCTTTCTGCCCAAAGAGCTGGTTCTTTAAAAATATAAACAAAATTGACAAACCTTCAGCTCTATAACCATAAAGAGAGGGGACCCAAATAAATAAAATTAGAAATGAGAAAGAGACATTATAACTAATAACAAATTCAAAGGATCTTTTGAGACTATTTTGAAAAATTATGTTACCAACTTAAAGTCTACAAGTGGACAAATTTCTGGGCACATGACCTACCAAAATCAAACCAAGAGTGTATAAAAAACCTGAATAGGCTGGGTGTATGCTGTTGCACCTGCAATTCCAGTGAGTCTGGAGGCTGAGGGAGGAGGATTGCAAGTTCAAGGCTAGCCTCAGCAACTTAGGGAGACCATGTCTCAAAACCTGTGGGGGATGTGGCTCAGTGCTTAAGTGTAAGTACCCTGGGTTCAATCATTGGTACCAAAAAAAAAAAAAGCTCAGTGGTAAAAAAAACCCTGGGCTGAATCCCCAACTAAAAAAAAAAAAGAGAGAGAGCTGGGTACAGTGGGACCTGTAATCCCAGCAGCTCTGGAGGCTGAGGCAGGAGGAACTTGAATTCATTCAAAGCCAGTCTCAGCAAAAGTGAGGTGCTAATCAACTCAGTGAGACCTTGTCTTAAAATAAAACACACAAAAAGGGCTGGGGATGTGCCCTGAATTTAATCTCCATACCAAATAGAACAAAAGAGCCTCAACCATAAGCTGCCAGGGGCAGTGGACCTCACTACAGTGGCACACACCTGTAGTCCCAGCTACTAGGGAGGCTGAGGCAGAAGGATTTTTGAGCCCAGAAATTCGAAGCCAGCCTTGGCAACAGAGACCCCATCTCAAACAGAAATGAACTATAAGATGGTTGATGGGTGATGCTTTCAGAAGAAGACATTGATTAAAAGGTAATATGAAAGTTGTGAGAATCAAAGTGAGGTCACTTCTGTCAGGCTTTAACCAAAATAAAAATAAAGCCAGGAGATGGGGAGGGAGGGGATTTGATGCACATGCCTCTTCTCTGAGACTACCAGCGCCCTGCTGCACAGCAGGTGCCTCTGCAAAGAGGACTGCAGGCCACTGTGTGGCAGGCTGGGGCCAGTCCTCCTAGGTGGCCAGCTCAGAATATTTTATATGATCCTCCTCACCTAAAAACGTCTTTCCTCAGCTAGGCATGGTGGCCCATGCTGTAGGATGTGGAGGAGGGTCCCAAGTTCAAGGCCAGCCTGGGCAATTTGGTGAGACCCTCAGCAATTTAGCAAGAAGACCCTATCTCGGAATAAAAAAGGGTTGGGAGTCTAGCTCAGTGGCAGAGCACCCCTGGGTTCAATGCTCAGGGCCATGAACAAAAATCCCTTCTTCTTAGGGCTGGAATGTAGCTCCGTGGCAGAGCACTTGCCTAGCACCTGTAGGTACTGGGTTTGATCCTCAGCACCAAATAAAAATAAACAAACAAAATGAAGGTATTATGTCCATCTACAACTAAAAATGAAGGAAAAAAAAAAAGAGGCTTTTGCTTTCCTCAACCTCCTGAACAGTTTGCCAGAGCACGCATGTCCCTCTGCAAATGCTCTGCCTGCCTCCAGAACGCTTCTGCGGATGGAGAATCTCTCATTCAGGCTGACCCGTGTCAAACGCCCAGGGCTGAGACCATGCTGCCTCCCAGTGCTCCACATGCTCCACAGGCCCAGCAGAGGGGGCGACTAGCCCCTCCTGACTCTCCAGGACAGCATCCCCGGAGTGTCCATGTCCACCTGAAGGCCCTCTCCTAGGCCAATTGGCCAGGGCCCTGGGCCTGAGCTGCTTGCGGTAAGGATGGGAGCTACCGGCAGCCCCTGCACCCCAGTATATCCTGGGTCTATCCCTACGGACTCCTCCTCCACCTCTATAGGTGACATGGGTTCTCTCCACACTGCTTTTTTTTTTGGGTGGGGGTGGCTGGGGGTACCCGTGATTGAATTCAGGGGCACTTGACCACAGAGCTACATCCCCAGCCTTATTTTGTATTTTATTTAGAGATAGGTTTAGCACCTCACTTTTGCTGAGGCTGGCTTTGAACTCAGGATCCTCCTGCCTCAGGCTCCTCAGCTGCTGGAGAGCACCACACTGCTTCTTTAGCACCAGGCACCAGTACCTCTAAATTCTGAGCCTGGATTGGTGCAGACTGAAGCCACTGGCCACCCTGGGCCCCTTGGCTTACTAGCCAGCCCCCCTGCCCCACTGCCACCTGGCAAGGGAGGACCCCTCCCACTACCCTGCTGTGTGAACCAGCAGGGGCAAAACCAGCCCAGCTCCTCACCAGGTAGGGGCAGAAGGGTGGACAGGGCAGGAGGTGTTCACTCTGAAGGCAAGAGAAAAAAAAAACCCTTTATTGGGCAAGACCAGCCTATCCTTGGCCTTCAAAGAAGACAGGAAAAGAACTAAGGTCTCAGGGATGAGGAGGCCGCAAGTCAGAGACCCAGCACCCCCACAGGAGGGGGCAACAGGGTAGGAGGTGGGCGCCAGCAGTGGTCAGGCCTCAGCCTCGCCAGCGAAGAGCGGGTTGTCAAAGTAGCTGTGGCTTGTGCTGCTGTCCAACTTCAGGGCGGGACTGCAAGGCCGCACTGGGGGCTGCAAAGGGACACAGGTCAGGACACGCTGGTCTCAGTGCCAGGCCCTGGAGAGCACCCCCCAGACCTTCCCGCCCTCTCACCGGCTCCTCCGAGGTCGCCACGAAGAATACCGGGTTGCTGAAGCCCGAGGGCGTCCCCGCAGGGGCGGGCTCTGCCTCCTCCTGCCTCCTCCACCTGGGGAGTGGGACACAGATGAGCCCCTCGGATGGCGCTGCTCCCGCTTCCCCGCCAGCTGCAAACCTGAGCCTGCCGCACACCTGAGCCTCCCGGTGCGGCGCAGCAGCACGATCCCCAGCAGCGCCAACAGCACCGGCAGCACCGCGGCCACCACGCCGCCTGCGAGCCCCGCGCGGGACCCGGGCGCGTTCTGCTCGGCCGTGGAGTCGCCCCCGACTGGCGCGCCCGACTCCCGCAGGACGGCCGATAGGACCCCGAGGGCCTCGCCTGCAAGGGAGGTGGGCTCAGCGGCCGGCGGCCACGCGGAGCCGGAGGAAGGGGCGGGGCGCTTACCTTGCTCCGCCACGTCCGCCACGAGGGCCCGGGCCAGCCGCCCCGCGCCGCCGGTCTCGGGTCCAGTGTCCGCCAGCACCACCTGGATCTCGGTGTCGGCCTCCCGCAGCCGGGACCAGCGCGGCACCCTGGACACCGCCACTTGCAGCCCTTGGTACTGGGGCTGGGGAAGGGCAGGGTTAGCCTGGGACCCCGCCCCTCGAGCCCTCGGGGACTTTAGGGGAGCCGCATAAGGGGACAGGTGGACAGAGAGGTCCGTCCCGGCAGGGCCTTCAGAGGCCGCTGGAGTCAGGAGGCCCCTTCTCGCCGCCCGCTCGGCCATACCAGTGACAGGAAGGCATCCAGCAGCCGCGCCCGGTACCGCTGCAGATCAAATGCGGAGCTGTGCGTCAACGACACGATGGCTCCTGCAGCAGGAGGGCAAGGGTCACGCCGTGGACCCGGGCCCGATGGGGAAACTAAGGCGGGAGCGAGGCAGCGTCCGTCAAGACCCGGGGTTTGCTCACCGCAGAGGTCGCAGCACTGCCCCTCAGGCCGGAGGGCGTCGTGGCAGGAGGCCTGGGGGCAGCGGCCGCCCAGGGGCTGCAGGAGCGCCGCGCAGACCCAGGGCAGAGCCTGCGGGGGGAGGCGCACTGGTCGGCGTGGGGATGACGAGGGCAGACCACAGCTAGAAAGGGTCCAGTGCCCCCAAGCGGGCCAGCCGCCCAGGCCCAGTAGCGACCCTCGCACGGTGCCCGGCAGGCCCTGCAGCCGCGCTCACCTCGGCGGTGCCGCACACGCAGCCCGACGGGTCGGCGCAGGCCTCGGAGCCCAGGCTCAGCGCGCCTGGTCCGTGGAAGTGCAGGCGGCCCGATCGCGACGCCAAGAAAGCGGCCAGGTCCTCGTCGCGCGTGAACGTCTGCGGAAGGCAGGGTGACCCACGGAGCCACCCACCCGACGAGATCCTCTGGGTGCTCAGAGCCACGTGCGCAGACCAGGAGGGCGCGAGGGCGCCCCGACCCCTCCCCCGGCCCGCTCACCTGGCCCAGAGCCGAGATGCTGCGGACGCGCACGGGGCCGGCGCCGAGGCCGAGCCCCACGCGAAAGGAGCCGTCGGGCGGGAAGACGACGTCGTCGTGACTGCAGGGCACGCGCTCGGCGTCCACGGAGAAGAAGCCGCGCGCCTCCTCCGAGCGCCACAGGCGTGGGTCGACCCAGGAGAAGCGGTCGGGGTTGCGGAAGAGCGCCGGGGGGTCTGGGGGCGCGCGTCCCGGAGTCGGCCACCGCGCGTAGCCCGGAACCCCCTTTCCCACAGTCCCCGGAGACGCCCACAGACACGCCCCGCCCCCGGGCGCCTCACCTGAGCCACAGTCCGGGTCCGAGCCCCGGGCTGCCGCGCTGAATCCCGCTCCCGAGGCCAGCACGAGTTCCCCGTCCAGCGGCAGCAGCTGTGGGAGGCAGGGGCTGAGGCGGCGCGAGGCCCAGGGCCCGCTCCGCGCCCACCTGCGTCCGCGGGGAGGAGAAACCAGACCAGGACCATGGAGCAGGGTGAGGTCAGGGCCAGGGGCACCGCGCTCTGGCTTAGACTAGCAGGGTCAGCAGGATCTCGCCAGAGAAAGAGAAGGACATTCTGCGCGGAATGGAGCTGGGGAACAGCCTGTACCAAGGCTCTGCGGTGAGAACAGCCCAGTGTCCGGAACTCTGGGCTGGAGTGGGGCTACAGGGCCACGTAGGCCGAGGTGGCAGAGCCACAGGCTGAGGAGCAGGAAGGAGCGAGCTGAGACCTGGGAACCCTTGCAGACTTTCCCCATCACCTCCCCCCACCCCTGAGAAGTTACAAGCAAAGGGTTTCTGGGTCCCAGGAACTATATTTTAGAACAGTGACAAGCCTCTGGGGAAGGGGCTTTAGTTTGGAGGAGAGGAGTTCCAGAGAGGGCAGGGAGCATAGGGGGCTTTGAAGTGGTCCTGCTATATTCCCAGATCATGGCTCCATCATTGCAGCCCCTTCACCACAAAAGCCAGGCCGTACCCAGGCCTCAGGTGCTAGGAAACATGGCAATAGGAGGGAGAAAACTCTTCATTTCCCCTCCCCTCCAAGCCATAGGACCCTTACCCTTTCCGTCCTTTTTTCTCTGAGGAGTTGCTCCTGAGGGGTAAGCATCTCAGGGCCCAGCCCCTTGTTCCAAACTGGGGGCAGGGCTTGCTCCTCAGCCCTTCCTGGAGCACAGTACCAATAAGATCACAGGCCAACAGCACCGTGGCTGTCCAGCAGAGACCAGACCGCAGGGAATGACCCTGCGCACCACTGATTACACCTCCGTGCAGGAATCAAAAAGGACAGGTGAAACAGAGTGGATGTCAAAAAGCGGTGGTCACTGTTTTAAAATTTAGTTCCTGGGACCCAGAAACCTTTTGCTTGTAATTTCTCTGGGATGGGGGGTCCAAGTGCAGGGTGAGGTAGAGTTTGTCTAGCATGAATACAGCCTGGGTTCAACCCCAGAACCACACAAAAAATAATAAAATATAAAAGAAATAAAAAGAATAAAAAAGAAATATGAATAAAATGTGAAAATCACAATGGTTAGAAGGACAAGCACAAGCAGGTGAGATCCACAAGAGGACTAAGCCAACTGTGGATGCCCAGTGATGCTGGTGGTCACGCCCAGGCTCCCCAGAAGTCAGCAGAAAGAGAGAGGACCAGGGGGCACAGAGGCAGACCCAAGCACTGAGACTCATAGGCAGGGGTGGGACAGAAAAAAAAAAAGAATTTTTTTGGTACCTGGAATTAAAGGCAGAGGGGCTTAACCACCAGGCCACATTCCCAGTCCTTTAAATTTTTTTTTTTTTGAGACAGTCTTGCTAAATTGGCTTTGAACTTGTGATTCTCCTGCCCCAACCTCCAGAGTTGCTGGGATTATGGCATACACCACCTCACCCAGCTAGAAGAGCAAATATTTGAAGAAATAACAAAGATGATCTTTCTGAATTTGAAGAAAGATGCAAAATCTCAAATTGAGTGCCCAAAGGAAAATTGGAAAATCCACACGTGTGACACATGACAGTATGATTATATCAAAGAGAACATTCTAGAAGCCTCAAAGAGAACACATTACCCAGGAAGGGGGAAAACAAATCAGATTCCTATTTCCCAGCAAAATACAACAGAGTAATAATTTTATATTTTAAAGAAAAATAACTTTCCATCTGGAATTTTTTTTAATCAAGTTAAACTGGGTCAATTGTGAAGGTACAATTAAAATACCTTCAACCTAAAAGGCTTCAGAACGAATGCTTCCCAAAGATCCATCCTGTCATCATGCTCAGAAGAATCAAGAAGGAAAAGAAATCCAGATCCTTCAAGAGCTACAGGCAGCAAGAGTGATGAAATAACACTAGTAAGCCAATTCTGTGTGTGTGTGTGTGTGTGTGTGTGTGTGTGTGTGTGTGTGTGTATGTGTGTTGCTTGGGATTGAACCAGGGCCTTGCTCTTGCTAAGCAAGTGCTCTCCCACTGAGCCACAACACCCAGTCTCTTGTCTTCTTAAACAATTTTAAAACTGGGACTAAATATGATGGAGAAGGGAGGGGGGAGACAAAGGGTGAGGGGTCTGTGCTAAGGAGCTTCCTTGTCTAAGGATCCCGAGCAGTTTAAGAAATCAATAGGCTACCCAACTGCAAAATTGAGGAGCTACATCCTTTGCTGAACATTTTAAATGTCAAAATTTGATGCAAAGGGCTGGAGACTTAGTTTAGCGATAGAGCACTTGCCTAGCATGCATGAGGTCCAGAGCACCACACACACACACAGAAGCCAGGCATGGTGGTGCATGCCTATAGTTGCAGATTCAGGTGGCTGAGGGAGGAGGATCAGGAGTTGGAGGCCAGCCTGGGCAACACAGTGAAAGCCTGTCTCAAAAACAGCAAACAAAAGATCACACACAGAGAGCAATCCAGAATGTGTATAGACTAGTAAGCATTAAAGACATCAAATCAGTATTAGTCAAAATCTGATACCCCAAAATCCCAGCCCAAATAAATTTACAGGGGCGGTTTAGTAAACCTTGCAAGAAATGATTCATTTGTTTTCACCAGAAGTTTTCCTGGAGAACAGAAAAAGGAGTGAAAATTGTCAAGTTTCTCTATGAGGCCAGTGTGGCTTTGATTACAAAGCCAGAATGAAGGACAGAAAAAGAAAAAAATGATAAACCCATGTCACTTACAAATGCAGAGGTTAAAATTCTAAGAAAAACATTACCTCACTGGAGGCAATAATGTTTTTTAAGAATTTTTTTGCAAGAGCAAGAGTAAGCCCTTATGTGCACTGGGAGATCTGGATGGTGTGCCAATGTGGGTGGCCCAAAGTGACAAACATGCCACTCTGGGGCAGGATATTGGTGATGCAGGAGGCTCTGCATGGGTGGGGACAGGAGGCATATGGAAACTTATGGTACCTTCCTCTCAATTTTACTGCAAACCTAAAACTGCTCTAAGAAATTAAGTTTTAAATGTTTTTAATTTAATTTAATTTAAAAAATAGACGGTCACGGGGCATGGTGGTGCATGCCTGTAATCCCAGTAGCTCAGGAGCCTAAGGCAGGAGGATCTCAAGTTCCAGGCCAGCTTCAGTAACTTAACAAGATCTGTTTCGAAAAACAAAGAGGGCTGTGGATGTAGGTCAGTGATAGAGTGCCCCTGGGTTCAATCTCCAGTAAAACACACACACACACACACACACACACACACACACACACACACTCACACACACACACATTATGCAAGACTTCTAAGATCCTGTAAAAAGATATGAATGAACTGAATATTCAGAGAGACAGCCCAGATTCTGGAATATGATCGATGGTACAGCTATTCCAATCAATATTTCAGGGTTTGGGGGAGGGCAGTGGGTGCTGCCTGGGGAACCTGTTCTACAGTTTCTCTGCAACAATCAGAAGAGGGAAGGAGCAAGTTGCCCCAGAAGACACAAAGATCTGCCACAGGGCACAGACAGAGGCAGGACAGCTCTGGGTTGGGACTGAGAGTGCTAAGACCCACACCCTGGAGGCAGTGACGCACAGCGGGCTATGCCGGAGGTTAAAGGGCAAGGCTGGCTGTTTGGGGAAGATGGGGAAATTGGGCTCACTCTAAGGAGGAAACTAAAACTGGGTCCCGAGCTGGTGCCACACTCACCCATGCACCCCAGGTGGCAATCTGCCACTTGACAGACACACTAGAGTGCTTGCCATTGTGGCTGAGAGCAGGTAAGGGATTCTTAAGCAAAGCACCAAACATAGTTATGAGGCAACAGACTTTGCATTTGGTAGATCAGAACGAGGGTTTTCGTTTGGCGTGGGACACTGCAGGCCAAGTTCACCGTGAGAAGATACTGGCAGCATCTCACATCCCCACCACAACCAACCGCTGGACCGAGGCTGGAGAAGGTGGCCCAGGTGAGGAAGAGAAGCACCAGCGAGGCAGACAGCTGACGCTGGGAGCCGGTCGCCCGCCGAGGCGCTGGGTCCATTTGGTCTCGACCGCTGCCCTTTACCCTGCCCTGGGCAGTTCGGCGGGTCCTGGGACGTTGAGGGTGGGGCTGGGCTGGGCGCCAGGGCCCGACGCAGGGACCCCAGACCTGCTGGAGCCATGAGTGGGTGAATGAGCCAAGGATCCTTAAAATCGCCAGGCTCCCCAAGTAGGTGCCCGAAGTAACGAGGTCGCGCGGCGCTTCACCTCCTCCGGGCGCCCCTCCAGCCCAGGGAGCCGCCGCGGGGCCGCGGAGCCGGGCCTGGGTCTCACGCCCCGCACCCTCCCCGGCAGTTGAGGCGCGGGGCCGCGGGGCCAGGCGCAGACCCGAGTTGGTCACCGAGGCGAAGGGTGCAGCTCCCGAGCGCCAGGCGCGGATCGTCCCGGCACCGCGGAAACAGAACTTCAAAGTGGACCGCAGGGCCCCCACGGCCCTCCCCTGAGGTCCCGCTCTGCATCTGGGCGGGGCTGGCCTCCCGGGGACAACTCAGGGCCCAGCTCGTCCCCCAGCTCCAGCCGCCCTCGCTAGCGGGTGACTGATGAGGGCAGGTCCTGGCGGGAGGCTGAATCAGACGCGGGGTGCCCTTTCTGTTAAAGGGTGGACAGCAGAGTCTCGGTCGCTGTCGCCTGTGAATCTGCCTGACACAGCGCAGGGTGGGCGGCGCCGGGGTCTCGACCTGTGGAGCCTGTTCCTTGTGGGAAGCTCCAGACAAGGGCAGATGTGGAGCTCCCGGTAGTGGGAGTCCCGAAGCCCGACTTTCCCGATCCCCTAGAACACCAGTATTATGTACTGCTTGAGGGGAAGCCCCAGGATTTTAGGGAAGGTGTTCCCCTGGATTAGGGAAAGGCAGGTGGAGCAGCTTCCCCAGAGCAAACCTGACGGAAGACAGACTCTTAGGAGCCGAGGTCAGAGGCAGAAGGGCAGTGGGTACTGAGATGCTCTCCCAAGGCCCAGCCTGGCTGAGGCCGAGTGCTTCTCGGCATCTCTAGAGGCCAAAAGGCTGGGGCTGGTCTCCAGGCACAGCGACCTGCAGGGGCTCGTGGGCCTCTGCTACCGGCCAGTCCCCTTCCAATCTCGGGTCAGCCCTGCACCTTACCATATCCGAGACGGTGTGACTTTCTTGCACCAGGATTGACACCATCTGCAGGAAGAAAGGGTGTCAGCAGGGGTAGGTGGAGACCCACCCCCTGCGGGATTATGCAGGTGTGAGGGTCCAAGACCCCATCCATGATCCAGTAGGGGCTTGGAGGCACCTTGTCTGCAGGGAACTGGACAGCGCCTCCGGCGCACGGTGTCCGGTTCTGGTTCCAGTTGGTGGCGGTATCGAAGCCGGTGTTGGGGACCCAGAATTTGTAGGCGGCCCGGGTCAGCGCTGGGGAGAGGGTGGCTGAGTGCCGCCGCTCTCAGGGAAGGCGATCCCCCCAGAGACGAGCCGCAGCCCGGCGTGGGTCACACACATGGGTGCCCAGGCGGCCCTGCCCCAGGCCTTGGTGCCCCCGCGCAGCAGGCCGGACCTCGTGGGAACGCCGTCGCGGCGCTGCGACCCACTCCTGGATCTGCAGAGGCGGCTCCAGCTGCTCAGCCTCAGGACGCCGCCCGGCTCGCCTCCCCGCCCAGCCCCGTTAGCCTGGCGCTGGAGCCGGGGACCGCTTGGGTCACTCCGCGGCAGCAGGGGGTGGGGCCGGCAGGGCTCAGCCTGCGCCTAGGGGTCAGGCGCGCTTCCTGGAGGCCCTTCCCCAGGAGTCGCCCCACTCCGCGGAAGAGCTCTGGCTGGAGGCGGATCCCCGCGGGCGAAGGAGGAGGCTGGGCGGAGGGCGGAGGGCGAGGGGGGGCCTGGGAGGGACGGGGCTGGGCCGCGGCTCTTAGAGCTCCCGGGCGGGCGTCGAGGCGAGCACTAGGGACACTCGCCGGCCAGGGCGCGGGGGTGGGTGGGGAAACTGAGGCAGGCGCCGCGCTGCGGACGCGCACGGTGGCTCTGGGCCCGGCGGGCAGGGCGCGAGCGGCACCGAGGCGGGTCTGCGGCGCCGCCGCCTCCAGCACCGCCCGCCCCGTCGCGTCCTCGCTGGCCAGGGGCCGGGCGGGTTCGGCCTCCCCACCTCCCCCAGGATCTCGACCCTCGCGGCCCCCTGCGCGCCCAGCCTACCGCACAGCTGCAGCCCCAGCAGGAGCCGTCCCAGCGCGCCCATCGCGTCTCTCTCGCTCCGCGGCCCAGGGGACTTTGCCCCCACCGGCCCACGTGAGCGGGGGCGGGGGCCACGGACGCCACATCTTCACCTTCAGACCCGCCCGGCGACTCTCGCCCCTCCGGAAGTGACTTCTCAGCCTCCCACGCCTGCCCTTCAGGGCTTGAGGAGCTCGGGTGCCTAGGAAGAGGGGCGGCAGGACTGCCCTGCCCGGTGACCACCTCTGGGCTCACCCCCTCCTCCCGGTGCTGGTGAGGCTGAGCCTGGTCTGCCCACTGATGAGGCTGAATGTCCACCTGAGGCAGCTCCCCCTCCTGCCTCCTGGCCTGAATGGACTGTGGACGCCGGGAAATGATGATTAATGGGAGTGGATGGGAGGGTTGTGGGTGACCTTCATGGAGGATCATGAAGGTGCATGGTTAATGGAGGAATGATGGAGGAGGAGAGATGGGGTGCAGTGGACAAGAGCCGCTAGGTGGTGGACAGACGGCTGGTGCGTGGTGTAGAGTGGATGCTGAATGGTGGGTGAGCAGCCAGTGGTGGGCTGTGGATAGGCAGAGCTGGAGGGTGGACGGAAGCTGAGTGGGTGGGATGGGAGTGAACAACTAAATTGATGTGATAGGGGGAGGGTGGGTGCAGAATGGGGTACAGGTGGTCATGTGGCTGGGAGGGTCTTGGATGGTAGACGTTAGAGGTGGTTGTATTGGTGTATGATAGATGGCAGCTGGAGACAGGCAGGTGGTGGGTGGGTGGAGGAGATTGATCGATAGGGTAGTTGGTGATGTGTTCATGTGTGGATGGCAAATCACAGATGGGAGATGGCACTGTCAGAGGGGATTGGGGATGATGGTTGGCAGATGGTAGTTAGATGATGAATGATGGAACCGGTGGAGGTGGAACAGTAGTTGGATCAATGGATGGTTGTGAACAAAAGGAACACTACAGCTTCTGCATGGATGTGCAGGTGTGGATGGTGGGTGAGAAAAAGTTGTACATTTTGGATGCAAATGGATGGAAGCAGATGGCGATGAGGTGGAATGGTGGCTGAATGGACCAAGGATAGATGGATGGCTGAATGGTGGCTAGGTTTTATTCTATTATTATTATTATTATTATTATTGGTACTGGGGATTGAACCCCAGGGAACATTACCACTGAGCCACATTGCCAGCCCATTTTTAAATTTTGAGGCAGGGTCTTGCTAAGTTACCTAGGGCCTCGCTAAGTCGATGAGCTGCTTTTGAACTTGCAGTCCTCCTCCAACCCAAGTCTCTGGATTACAGATACGTGCCACCACGCCCAACATGGTAAATAGGTTTTAGGTGAACTGTGAGTGGATAGCTGGTAGACCGGAGGGACATGGATGAGACTGCGGGAGGTGACTGGATATAAATGAATGGGTGCACGGATGGAAGATGGTGGACAGGTTGTGCGTGTATATGGTAGGTGGAGAAAGGACAGGGGACATAGGTGGGTGGCATGGGGGAGATGTGGTTTTAATCAAGTGAATGATGCTTGGATATCTGCATCACGCACATTGGGCCTGGGTGGTGAGTGAGTGGAGGATGGGTTTGTGGGGGATGAGAGGCAGAGGTGACGTGGTGGATGAACGGTGGCTAGACTGTACATGGCAATTAGATGTATAGATGGCAGACTGCTGGCGACAGGGAGCTACCCAGGCCTGGGACTTCCAGGGGCCTTCCTCCCTCAGTCATCCTGCCCTTTTCTGCACCCCACGTCTCATCTGCGGACCTGCTTCTCCTCACTGTCCTTTGCTCTTTTGTTTCTCCCACGCACAAGGAATTTCATCCAACGAGGAAGCTTCTTGCCACCAGAGGATGCTCTGGCTCTTTTTGCGTCTGGGTGGTGCCATGACTTCTCTGCCTGGGGAGGGAGCCCGGCTCTATCCCCTCTGTGTGCTGGTGGGGACACCTTCAAGCACAGCAGTGCTGCCCGGAGGGGGCTTGACCCCTACCAGCCAAGACTCAGGTCCTGAGAATGGGTCAAGGGTGGTTCTGGAGCTTGACCTCGGCCCATGTTGGCCTGCAGGAGGCTCATCCTCTGTAGCCCCAACCAGGAGCAAAGGGGATGTTTTGGGGTCACGTCCACCTTGCCCTGCCTCCTGTTTCTCCTTGGGCCTCCACTTCAGTGTCTGGCTCTGCCCTGGCCTCACTGTAGAGCAGCTGGGGCTGAGCAAATGTCACCCCTGGGGTCCAAGCCTGAAAGTCCAATTGGGCCACCAGACCACAGTTTCTCCTGACACAGGAAGAGGACGGTATGGCGGGCAGAGCCTGCAGGCTCCAAAGGGGTGGATGGCCAAGCCCTGGGGAAAGGAACCTCTGTGTCCTGCTGTTCTATCCGAACAGGCCATTCTCAGAGTCTGCAGTGTGCAGAGGGCAGGGAGGGCACCTGGACAGTCCAGAGGCTTCCTGAAGAGACAAAGATGAAGGCCCATTGCGGCCAGTGCAGAGATTGTGCTCAAGTTAGCGGCAAAGAGGAGGAGCTGGTCCGGCTGGTCCTGGTCATCCATAAACATCCCTGACCTCCGTGAAAGGGACATGTCTGAGCAGAGGCTGGAGGTGGGGCCTGGTGCTGGAAGGTGGCCCTGCGAGTAGCTCATGAGGATGAGGCCCCACTCCTGGCCCCAGAAGCCAAGGGGTACTGCAAACCACCGAGGAGCAGAGGTTGGGGAGAACAGCTAGGCCAGCTGCAGGTGCCCGTGCTCACAGCAGGACCTGAAGCCCTCAGGCAGACTGGTTAGGGCCTCATGGGGAAGGAAGCAGGAGTTTCCTCCAGTAACTAGGAAATCTGAAGGAATGGCTACTTCAGGTGAGGCTGGACCCAAGGACTTGTCCGTTAATTTGGGGGCTTTGTCTTGCTGCTCTGGCTTAACCACCCACCCTGGTGGTTTCCCTGTGTACACAGCCTTTTTTCCTCCAGTCAAGGAAGAATGGGACTCCCCATCTCCCTGAGTCGGCCATGACATGAGGTCTCGGTTCCGTTTCCAACTCTGCACCAACTCCACAGCACAGGCTTCTGCCTCAACTGGCTGTTCTAGTTCTGGCCCTCCCTGAGGTGTGGGCAGCCTGAGTGACAACCCTGCCACCCACACAGTGGGGTAGGGAACAGGGCAGGCTGACCTCAAAATCTGAGGAGAGCCCACCCAGGCCCGGGGGCAGAACATGAGAGGCTCGGAAAAGGTGAGGTGGCCATGGCAGGACAGAGGGAAGGGACGGTAGGAGGTGAGGCCGGGGTTGCAGAGGGCACAGGGTTGCTGGCGCTGCATTTGATACAACTCAAGGGAGCCCAGGAGGAGAGTGAGGCTTGGATAGGGCTGGACAGTCCTGGGTCCAAAAGCTGTGAGGCTGTCCCATTCACTCAGCCTGTTCTGTTCCTTCACCTGCAAAATGGGCAGCAGCGCCCGCCTCACAGGGCCCAGGGCAGGGCAGGGGAGGCAGGAGCAATGGAGCCTCGACCTAGCACAGTGGGTGCTGCCTTCACCTGTGGGCACTGGAGAGGCCAAGGCCTCCGGAGCACTAGACTGGGAGCCACTCTGAGCAAGTCTGCTCCTGAGGGGGAGGTGGTCCAAGGCAGTGGACCCCTGATTCCCTCCTCACCTTCTCAGGGTTGGTCACCTGCCCTGTCCTTGAGTAGAAGGGGAGAACACAGGCTTCCGGGTGGAAGGACATACTTGCTGTTCCTCCTCTGGCAGGGTCCCAGCAAGGCTGGGCCAGGACGTGGGAGCAGACGGGACAGGGGCACTTAACTAAGGGCAGAGTTTGGGGAGCCAAAGTGTGGTAGGTGGAGGCAGCTTCCCCGGCTGGGACAGCCCGGGAGACGCTGCTCTATGCACGGCCTCCGTGATGGGGCCAGCCAGAATACACAAGCCGCCCTTGACCCCAGAGAGCTGGGTGGACTCAGCGCCTGGGCCTCAGCTCCACAGGGAGAGGTCGGGAGGTGGGAAGAGTCCCCTGGAGCCCAGAGCCATGGCCACTGCCTGGCCCCCACTCTCAGGTATCCTTCAGTGGCTGGAGACTTCTGAACTTAACACTTCAGGTCAGTGGCCCTGGGAGGGCCTGGCCATACCACTGGCAGTCCAAGGTCACCACAGGGCGTGTCTTGCCTGGTGTGGCCTCTGCTGGCTGTGTGCCTGTCCTGCAAGAGGGCTCCCCACACAAGGCCTCCTGCAGATGGACTGGAGGAGCCAGAGTGCACGGCCTCCAGGGGCCAAGCCTCCCTGCTGCGCCCAGATCCCACCACCAGCCGGGCAGCCCCTGGCCTTCAGCTCCTCAGGGCCCCATAGCCCATCTCCAAGACAGACCCTGGGGTAGAGGGTCACAAGGCACAAGTCCACTCAGTTGCTGCTTGGGTGAAGGGATGAGGAAGCCTGGGTGGTGTCCTTCCCTCAGGCCTGATCAAGCAAGGTCAACTCCTGCCCCAGGGCTCTGGAGGACCCTGCCTGGGTGACCTGCTCCTGCAGAGCCAGAGCAGGGCAGTGACGGGGCCCTTCCACTCAGCCCTGGTTCTTCAGATAAAAGAAGATTATTTAAAAATAAGACACAGCCGGTTGTGGTGGCACACATCTGTAATCCCAGTGGCTCAGGAGGCTGAGGCAGGAGAATTGCAAATTCAAAACCAGCCTCAGCAAAAACAAGGCACTAAGCAACTCAGTGAGACCCCGTCTCTAAATAAAACACAAAATAGGGCTGGGGATGTGGCTCAGTGGCCGAGTGCCCCTGAGTTCAATCCCTGGTGCCCACCCCCCCCCAAAAAAAAAATGAGACAAAGATAACAAGATTTGACCATGCAAAGGTCCATTTTCAGAGAACGGAGAGCGCCCGCCCAGACTTGGCCATGGGGACCCAGTCTGTGACACTTTCTCTCATCTGCCTCCAGCAAGGTCTCACAGGGCGGGCAGGCAGAGGCGGTGGGTACCGGCTGCGGGCCAGGCCCTGTGCCCCTCTCCAGGCCTCCATGTCTATTGAAAATGGATCATTCCAGCACCAGCACCTCTGACTGAGCACGTCTGCCTTCCAGTAGGGGCACTCTGCTGGGTGTGTGGGGGACACATCCTCATGTGGAGGCTGAGGCCCAGCCAGCACCGCAGCTCCCTGAGTGTGTGCTTCCTGCTCTGCTGCTCTGTGCCCATCCTCTGGCCCTCATCCCACTCCTGTTCCTGAGCTGAAGAAGGCAGCTGAAGGTCCCTCCCCAGGCCTGCACCATGACACCTGGCTCCCTTCCTGTCCCCCGAGGCCTGGGGGCAGGCAGTGCAGGGTGAAGGGGGGTGGCTCATCTGGCCTCACCTTGCTGCTGCAGACCCCGCGGTTTGTTCAGGGCCAGATCTGACCGCTGCTCCGCAGGGTCCGCACGGGCACCCACAGCCTGGGGAGCCAGTGCAGGCCCAGGGGGCCAGGCTTGCAGGCTGATGGCCTCTCCTCCAAATCTGGCCCTAAGCAAGGCCTGAGAGCACCTGAGACGAGCAGGGTGCTGTACTGGCTGCAGGTGGCACCAGGACAGTCAGGTGGGGCCTTAAGGGAGATGCAGGGCTTCCTGCTGCCAGGCCTGACCCAAAGGACTACCTGGGAAAAGCGGAGTGGCCACACCGAAGGGAGCAGCAGTCTGAAGAAGTCCCAGGCCCGCCACCAGCAATGCTTTCAGGTAACCACTGTGTTTCAGAAAGGAGGCAGAGGCTGTTCTCCCTCATTACAGATAAGATGGAGATCTGTCCCAGGCCAAGGTGCCACACTAGAAGCCACAGCCTTGAGAGATGACCTGGGGCAGGCCGAGGGGCCACAGGCAGGCCCACATGACTGGCAGTGTAGGATGGGCAGGCAGCCTGTGCTCAGAACCACTGTGGAGGCCACGGTGCAGCCTCTGCGGAGCACAGCCCTGGCTGCAGCAGGGGCCTTGGAGGCCCACGTGTGCGAAAGATTGGCAGGAAACCAGGACTCTTAATCAGATTTATTTTCCTCTAATAAGACAGTTTAACATGTCAAAGTTTTGCATTCTACAGTCTTACAAACTTTAGTTATTAGCATCGGAAACACAAAAACATTGCAAGACCTCAAAACACAAATAAATACCAAATAAAACCACACAAAATATACAGTAAACAAAAATATAGAACATAATAATGCTATCGGGAAACCAGACATGTTGCTAACTCCTAACAACAGGATTATTGCTGAGCAATAACTCATACCGTTTCTTAGAAGAGCAGAGGACACGGGAGTGATCACTGGTCACAATCACTTGGACTGTCAAGAGGGTCCTCACAGTGAGCGTACTACAGACGGCGAGTTTTAAAACAGGCAGATTAAAAATACGGAGTCAAATGAGAGACTGGCCTTCTTTGGTCTTTGTTTCTGGGTAAGAACTGAACACAAGAGGTGGACCACCAGGAACTGACGCATCCTACCAACAGTCCAGCGGTCTCCGTCGGCTTCCACGCTCCCTCGCCGCGGAGGTTCTCCTAGAGAGACTGCTTACGGAAATCCTTGGAAATAAGGCCGGATTTTATGTTTTTCCAATTAAGTCATTTAGTTTGCTGCTGAAGGTCATCTTACTTGTCTAAGGGGGCTAAGTCATAAAACCACTCACCACTGTTGACAGGAGTGGCACAGCGCTCCTGGACTTGAACCTTTTTCACACGAGCTCACAAGACAGAAATCGACTCAGGGGAAATGAGACACAGCTCTGCTGGCCACTCGGGCCTCCTCAACCACACAACCACCAGCCACAATGTGGGGTGCTGTCTTGCCCGTCTGCCCGGCAGTGGTGTCTGGGCACACCTCTGCAAGTGGAAGACACCCCTGATCTGTTTCCTGGCCTCTGGGACGGGCTGCTGGCCTGGCCTATCCGGGTCCCTGCTGGCCTGGCTCTCCACTGACTCAGTGCCTGCTGACAACCAGCACCAGCCACGCCAAACCAGGAATGCTGACCAGGTCACTCACTGACACCAACTGCACCTGAGCAGGCCCTCATGGGCTCATGACACCAACTTCAGAGAAAACAGAGCGGATGAAATTTGCCAACAGAAGACAGGGCTGTGGTCTTGGGCCAAGAGATAGACCTGGGTGACAGACCCTCCTCGTTTCACACACCCAGATGCACAGGTGCACTGAGAACTCCCGAGCACACCTTCTGAGCCTGGTCAGGGAAGATCTGGACTCAAGAGAAAAGAATGGCATTTCAGCCTCCACACAGGCTCTTTCCAACGAGCAAGTGACCCAAGCAGAGGGATGTCTGGGAGGGTGGGACTGGGCAAGGGGCACCCAGGGGAGTCTGTGCTCCTAGATAGCATGCTGCCACCCTGCCTGGCCGGAAGCGTCTTGGCTGGGCACACTATGACGGTCCCGTCCCACTTCTCGAGGCATGGGGGAGAAAGGAGGTGTGGCCTGGCTGTGGGTCTGTGGGCCACCTTCCTTCCCCAGGGCACTGCTGTGGTGGGCCTCCAGCACCCTCTCCTTTGCTGGGTACTGTTCAGTGCTATGGGGCTGCCGGGCCTGACGGGGCAACTATTTCACAGAGGATGCCGAACAAAGGGGTGACAGCAGTGACGACCCCAAGGTGGCAGCATTTACCAGGATGCGTGGTCCAGCCCTGGGTGACTTAGGTGATCTGGGGAGGTGGCTGGCTTCCCCGTGGACTGTGCCTGACGTCCATGTCCTCACCAAGGCTGGCCACATGTGGTCAAGGGGAAGCCAAATCAGCAGGGATCCAGATGGGCAGTGGATCTGCAGGCCCTGGTAGAGGCTGCACAGAGAGCGGGGGCCACAGCACTCCCCACCAAGGCTCCCTGGGGCAACAGCCAAGGCAGAAACAGGGGCTGGGCAGAGCCACAGAGGGAGGCAAGGAGACACCCCAGCAACCGCCCCTGTTGGCTGGCGGGGGGTGTTGGGATGTAGTATAAAGAGAGTTCCATGCTGTCTGCTTGGGGGCTCCAGGAGGGACAGGGATCAGAACTCAGAACCCCTCTACAGCCCTCTGCCCACCTCTGCTTCTGCATTGGGAGCACATCCAGGTCCTAACCCAGGGCTCCCGGGACGTGTGTGGGGGCCCACTGCCCTTCCTAGGAGCCCGGACCCTGGAAAGCCCGGCTCTCTGGGGCCAGTCCAGCCCACGCAGGGCTGGGTCTGTTAGTCCTAACCCCCACACCCCAGCTCCCTGACCCACCCACCTTGCTGCCAAGGCCTCCACTAGCCAGCGTCAGCCTGGCCCTGCACCGTCTTGGGCATTCTGACTCTCCGGCTGCTCACATTCCCGACTACCAGAGGGCCCAGGCCCATGCGTGTCTAACTAGCTCGGCCCCAGCAGCCCCTGTGGCAGGAGTGGTGGGAGCAACATGCTGAACCATGGGGAGCACCCATGTCCCTCACAGAGGTGACAGCAGAAAAGACTCAGAGTGCTGCTTCAGAGGGCTGGACGGCTCTGTCCTGTGGGGAGTTTTGTTACTTTTGGTAAATGGGAAGAGCACACCCAGACACACACAGTGTATGGACCACCCTTTGCTTCTTGTGGCTGGGCCCTGTGAAGCAGAGAGAGCAGGCCAGGGCCCGATGGACAGCTAGGTCTCAGGCACAGGGACCACAGCCCGAGGATGGCCCGAGCGGCAGCACCGACTGGGGCACCAAGGAGTGCGATGGAGCAGTGCCCGGGGACAGTATGACAGCGGGTCCAGTGCCCAAAGGCATGGGCTCCTGCATCACCAAACCACAAGCAGACCGACCTGCCTCGCCCTCACCCTAAAGGACCCTGCAGTCACTCCAGTCACATTCTGTAGGCGCCTGGGGGAAGAGGGAAGGACCTGGGACACATCCCACCAATAAGCTCCCAAGAGTCCCTGCAGGGTCCCACCCAAACCAGGGTTTCTAAGAAGGGGAAGAGGCTTCTCTCATGGCCACGCTGCTCACCCTGATCTGCGGTGGTGCGCATGCTTCCCGGGAACGGGAAGGAAGCCACAGGGATGTCCCTGCACTGCCACCCAGCTGTGGGAAAGCCACTGAGGGCTGGTGGGGCCTGCCAGGTGCTCCTCTCCCCTCCACACCCAGTGGACAGGCCTAGAGGAGGTCAGGGACACCTTCGAGGGAACAGCGGGCTCCACAGTTCCTGCAAGAAATCCTTCTGCTGAGCAGGGATGGTGGCTCCTCCCTGGGGACCAACCAAGGACACTGATGTACCCAGAGCATCCCAGGAGTGGAGCAAGGAGTGGCAGATGGAGGAACCAGTGTCTTAGCCGTGGAAGGGCATGGCAGGCGCTTGGAACCAAGCAGGTGGCTTATGGGAGCACAGGGACGGGTGTGCGGGAGGGCACTTCCAGCAGGCACTGGGGCAAAGGCACACCCAGGACAGATGGCAGCACCAGAGACGAGGTGGGCGCCAGGCACCAACCAGCCGTCCCTGCACGACCGTGGGGAGAGCCCAGAGGCAGGCAGTCTAAGTGCGCGGCCCAGCTGGCCAATTGTGGGCGCGTCTTTTGGGCGAGTGGCACAGATGTGGTGGCCCGCACACATTGGTTCTGCCTAAGAAGCACCCGTCGCGTGTAGCACCCATCAGTGTAAGAGCACCGTGAAGCGTGGTGCATAGCAAAGGGGCACGGGGCGGGGCTCCAGGCTCCAATCACAGTTGGTAAACAGTGAGCTGGGAGTGCTGCTCAGGCAGGGGCAGGCTGGGGAAGCAGCCCGGGCGACCTTCCCATCAAGGTGGTGGCTTGGTGCCGCTGGCAGTCGGCCTGGGCAGACCCCAGAGCAGCAGTCTCTGGAAAGCTCAGAGGGCTCTGCTCTGAGCTGTGGGCCCCAGGCCTGGGGGTGGTGTACAGGGCGAGGCGCAGCTTCTGCTCCAGCCTGCCTGCTCAGGGAGGGCAGGGCAGGCTGCGGCCTGGAGTCTGGAATCTGGGACAGCTAAGCAGTGGAAGTTCCGGAAGCCACTGATGAGCCTGGCTTCCCTGGCAAGCACAGGGGGTTGAGAGCCTGTAGACAGAGACCTAGCGGTGGAGAGATACGTCTGGTCAGACCATCACGTTCTAGAACCATGCCGGACACAACCCAGGGTGGAGAAGCAGCACGTCACATCTAAGGCACATGTACCGTATGCCACCATCTCTGAGCAAAGGCATTGCTTTCGGAGATCACTCACCGAGCGCAGCAGTGTGACAAGACGAAGGACACCTGCGAGGGCCTCCTGCAGCACAGCCACCTGCCCACCCCCGACGCGACGCTGGAGACAAGGCGGCGCTGTCAGCAATGGAGAGCTTGTCTGAACCGGGGAAGAATCTCAAAAGCCTACAGGATTTTGTTTAGAACTCCAAAGTTCAACTAATGCCCTATTTTAGGGTGAAAACAATTATAAATCTGAAAATGATGCACAGCATCCATGAGCAATGTTCCTTTCATAGTAATTTTGAAGTAGTGTCATTAACTACGACAGATATTGAAGGTTTACATTTCTAACGAGAAATAGCAACAGATTGAATGTTCTCTTTCCTATCACAAGTGATAACCAGTGTTAGTTTACATTTTCTTCCAAGAAATATCAGTCTATCCACGTTTTAAAATAAAAGGTTTGCAGTAACAATTATTTGTAGAACTTTAAATTAAAAAATGATTTCAGAATTTAGAGACTTTAAAAAAAAGACCTAGCACTTCAGGGTCTTCTGACAAACAAATTATTAGAACAGAGACCAGATGAGGCCTTAAAAATAGACAATATACTATATTTGAAACAAGATTGCACTCTTGACTTTTAGGGTGAATATATCAGAACTGCATTATTATTTCATAAATTTTCCTTTTGCTGATCATGCCGACAGGTCCAGCTGTCCCCACGTGCGTTTCCTCTTTTGGGTGTTCAAGTTTACGGAAGAAAAATGTTTCTTTTGTTAGCATATGTTTTCCACCTTACTTAACTAGATCTTTAAAAATGAAAATGAAACCCTCCTCTGACAGCAATATTTATCTCATTGAAGGATAAATAACTCTTCAGAGTGGAGTGTGGCTAGTCTGTTAGAAAACGCTGGAGTGTGTTCACGTGTGGTTCCTCCCGCCAGCCGTGCGTCCGCCTCCTGCTGCTTCCTGCGTCCCACCAGGTCCTTTTCTGAGTGCGAGGACCTCAGTGAGGACAGACTGGTTCAAAGCCCCCAGAGGAGTTACCTTCTGCTAAATCCACCTCCCCAGGTACTCATCAGGGGTCAGGCAGATCCGAAGTATCCACTATGACTTTAATAAAAATCGTATCATCTTTAATATACGTCCCATTTTCTAGAACAGTTTGGGCCACGAAGACAGGGCAGCCAGAGGCAATATTCATCTCTCCGGTGGGCTTCTTGAAGCTGCTGCTGTTGGGATCGGGCTTGAACGCATCTCCTAGATGGCGCCGAGAGGACCCCTGATCCATCAACATGAGCGTCACTTTCTGCTTAAATGGCCATGGCAGCAAAGCATCGTACTCTCCACGCATAATGACAAAAAACAGCGACAAGTGCGTCCCCTTCCCCATCCCATCTCCGTTCAGGTAGACCCTGGCACACATCTTATAGCCAAAATAGCCCGTGTAGAAGGGCTGGCTGTAGAGAGACAGGGTCTTCCCCATGACAGCCTCCTGCTTCCGGCGCTTGTAGTCCCGGATCTTCCAGATGAGCACGCCATTGTAGCTGGCGGTCTCCAGGACCTGGAACCGCAGGTCCATGTCAGCCAGGCGGATGTCATGCACGCTCAGCATCTGGTCGTGCCGGCTCAGCTGGGACTCCAGCAAGCCTGCTGGGGCCACGTGGGGATGAGACAGAGTATCAGGGGTCAGAGGCGACATCTAACCAACAACAGCTACATAAAAAAGGGGCACACACAGGGGCTGTCCCAGGACGTCTGGAAGGGCTCCACCCACCCCCAGTCGTCCCAGCAGATGAACTGTCGGGCGGAAGTGGGAGTGAAGATGGGAACCTAGGAAGGTGGCAGCCCCCATGAGATGACCTAGGGCCTGCATGTCACAGGCACCTCGCTGCAGGTCAGTGAGGCCATCTTACTCGGACACTGCCTCCTTGCAGAAAGGCGCCCATGAAAGCAGGTGATGGCCACCTGCCTGCCCACTAGCCAGAGGCCAACAGGGTCTGCATCTTTCTGGATCTGAGCTGCTCCCTCCACTCCAATCCTATTTGCACCATGATAACCCCATTCCTTCCCACCATTAATCTTCATGCAAACAGTCACAGTCCTCATTCAGGCCCAAGGCCACAGGCCACACATTTACTCAAGAGTGTCAGAAATGTTCGGGCTGGGTGTGCTGAGCCTCCTGTGTGTGGTTTCCACTCCTGTCCCAGGCTTTCAGGAATGCAAGGTAGGCACACAAATGGCCTGGAGCACCCTGCCCAACAGGCCTGGGCCTCCCTGTGGTGCCAGCCTCTCAGGGAGAGCTCTGCACTCTGTCACACTGGGCCTGGCACAGAGGGACAGGTCTAAGTGAGAAGTACCTGTCGCTACTAGAGGAATCTCCACAGGAAACTTCTCTTGCCTCCACACATGCGTCCTCTGTAACCCGAGGAGCTGGAGGCAGCAGGTGCCAGCCAGGCCCAGCCCTCACCCCAAGCAGCTCAGGCCCTGACCCAGCCTCTCACCTGTGTTCCGAGCTGCCTGCCCCGCACTCTTGTCCACACTCTCCAGCTCGGTCACACGATTCTGAAGGGACTCCACGCTGCTCTTCATGCTGTCGGCCTCCTCCCAGTTCTGTCGGAAGGGACGGATCTCCTTGTCCAGCTCCTTCAGTTTCTCTGCCTGGCTGTCTATCACTCGCTTCCAGACCAAGGATGGGAAAAGGCAAACAACAGTCACAACTCACAGGACGCGCCTTGTGACAGCGGACGCGCACAGTGTCCTCGGTGTGCAGCGCGCACCACCAGGGGACGTCAGGAAGAGCAGTGAGGGCAGGTGGTCAGTGAATGGGGATTCTTCCCAGAGGCTGTGTACTCTGGCCTGCCTTGCCCACAGTGGCCACTGTCCCCTCCAGGCCAGGCCTCAGTGGCCCCCCAGCTCTGTGCTGAGACCCCCGGATATGAGCCTGCCTGTATTCTTACCCGCTTCCCACTGGCTTCCCACAGGCCAGCAGCACCTCCATGCGCTGGCCAGGCCGCCAGGGTCACTCACCTGCACCCACACGTAGCCAGGGTCTCATGTGCCTAGAGGCCCTGCTCCCAAGAGGCCTCAGGTTTGGGAGAGTGGAGTCATGCCTTGTGGCCCCATCTTTCATTTGTGTGTCTATTCTGCTACTTGGTCCAGGACACAAGTGCCACCCTGTTTCTGTGGCTACAGATGCAGCTTCATGTGGGTCCTGGGAGGGAGGACCACCCAGGATCCCTAGGACCTCCCCCAGAGAGCTAGCCGCTCTGCTCAGGGCTGGCAACAGAACAGGCCAGCAGTGGGCCTCAGGTCCAGGGCGAAGCCAAGGGGGCAGCGCCTATGAGAGGTCTCCTCCTTCACCTGCTTCACACTGGGGAGGGGGCGGGGCGGGGCGCAGAGCCTGTCTACAGACACCAGCTGCCTGGGCCTGAGCTCATGCTGTCTTAAGGACCTCAGAAAACCCTAGCTCCAGAAGCAGACTGCTCTACAGTGGTCATGGGAGGGATAGGAATCCTGGTCCAGCTGTGGTGGCCCAGGGTTTTAAAGGAGTGTTTACTTGTTAATTGGAGCCAGAGACTGAAAGGTTCAAATTTTGAAAAGCACTTGCATTTTGAAGCCAGCTCAGGGAGCCTGGGCCCTGGCCCACACTTCACTTCTCCTTTTGGAAGTCTATTTCTGAAACTCCAGGTTTCAGCACCTTTGACAGCCATGTCACCAGCCTTTAAGGAACAAGTGTGGCAGGTCTGGGGTACCTTTCTGGGGTGCTGTTCTTCCTGCTCCTTCCAAGAAACCTGGTATTAGCTGACATTTATAATAGTGAGAATGGTGTCTCTAAAAAACACCCCTTGTTAGGTCGATGTCACTTTAAACAAGTACCTATGGCCAAAGTAACAGTTAATTAGTTCAGGAGGTCCGTTTTCTGGGGCCAATCTATTGACGTTAATGAATGGCCACACTCTTGGGATGAATGGTTCTCACACTTGGGATGGATGAGAGCTCTTGTGCGTTCTTCCTACTGCTAATAAACTAAGCTCATGTGGATACTGATGAGACACAGACCTAACACAGCCTGAGTGATACTGTTTTGTAACTTCGTGCACTCAGGAGGGAACCCTGAGTTGCAGGATGGCCTGGGACAAGCCACTTGTCACTTTAAGCCTCATGCTTCTAAGCTGCTTCAACCTCAAACTGATGCCCTTCAGGGGGTAGTGGCAGGAGGGTCCCTAATACTGTCCGATGCCAGGCCTGATCTCAAGAAGGGGACTGTGGGGTTTGACTGTGGGACATCCTGTCAGCAGTGAGGCTCCCCACACAGCAGGGGACACTGATCCAGAGCGTGGGGCACCCGTGTTGGGGCAGGAGAAGGGCACCCGTGCTGTGCACACACATGGTCCACACGAGCAAGGCTCAACTAAGTAACCTAGGCATTTCCACATCCAAAGGGAAAATGTTCTGTTTTTAAGTCAGAACTTTCATTTTTTAATTGGCACAGTCTCAAAGCAGAACTCAGACCTAAATCAACTTTTCTCTATAGAACACAGCAAAGCAAAGAGATTTCGCTCTTTAAGCGCCATGTTCCACAATCAGCTACTGCAGTGTTTTTATAAATATAAATCTTAAATGCATATGTGAAATTTCACTGGAGGAAGAGTACAGAGCTGGCACAGTGGCACATGCCTATAATCCCAGCGGCTCATGAGGCTGAGGCAGGAGGATTACAAGTTCAAAGCCAGTTTCAGCAATAGCAAGGTGCTAAGCAACTCAGTGAGACCCTGTCTCTAAATAAAACACAAAATAGGGCTGGGGATGTGGTTCAGGTCAGTGCCCCTTAGTTCAATCCCTGGTGCCCTGCCCACCAACAACAACAAAAAAAAGAACAAGAGCGCAGAAGCTGAGATAAGTAGTGTGGCTGCACAATCCACGGACAAGCTTTCAAAGACTTGCTGACCAGCTCCATGCACACACATTTTGGGGCTGCAGCCACTGTTCCTGGCTGTCCTTCTTATTCTAGGTCACTGGGACCTGAGAACATGACCCTGCACAGAGACACAGCATGGTGATGCCCAAGTGCTCAACTGAGCTGTGGACTGGGCATGGTCAGTGCTGGCTTGGGCCCTGCTGATCCACTGGCTTCAAGAACCACAAGTTGAGTGCCACTGGCAGCCAGAGGGCATGGTCAGGCTCACATGTCCATAGTCATCTCTTCTGAAGACAGGGTTGCTCACTATGTTGCTCAGGTTGGCTTCGAACTCCTGGGATGAAGCAATCCATCTGTCTCAGCCTCCCAAGTAGATGGGATTTAAGAAAAAATGTTTAAAAAGAAAAATGGCTCTTTACATTTCTATTAAGAAACACCTTCTTGGTATACCCAAAGGACCAAAAAACAGCATACTATAGGGACACAGCCACAGCAATGTTTATAGCAGTACAATTCACAATAGTTAAACCATGGAGCCAACCTAGATGTCCTTCAGTGGATGAATGGATAGAAAAAAATGTGGCATTTATATACAATGGAATATTACTGAGCAATAAAAAAGAACAAAATCATGGCATGTGTAGGTAAATGGATGGCATTAGAGAAGATTATGCTAAGTGAAGTTAGCCAATTCCAAAAAAACAAATGCCGAAAGTTTTCTCTGATATAAAGGGGGTGACTCAAAGTGGGGTAGGGAGGGAGAGCATGGGAAAAAGATTATTTCTAGATAGGGAAGAGGGGTGAGAGGGAAAAGGAGGGAGAAGGGAAATAGCAAGGATGGGGGAATTTGATGGTCATCATTATACAAAATACATGTACTAAGATGTGAATTTGGTGTCAACATACCTTATATACAAACAATGACATGAAAAACTGTGGTATATGAGTGTATTAAGAATTTTAAGGCCAAAAAAAGAAGAGTATGTGTATAATGGCATAATTTTGTCATGGACATACTTTATATACAGTTACCAAAAAAAAAAAAAAAGAATAACAGTACAAAAAAAAACTTTTGTGTGTTAAATGTGTACTCTTTCTATGCATAGAATCTTTCATTTGAAAAATGTTACTTTCATTTGACCAACATTGAAGAAAATCCATACTCATATAATTTTTTATATGCAATAAATCATATGTTTCTATCTAATAAGTCTATGAGATTAAGAAGACAATTTTCCAATAAAGTAATAACCAAAAATAAACAAACAAAGAAATAAAAGAAACACCTTCTTGGCACCAGGCATAGTGGTTGGTGCACACCTGTAATCCCAGCAGGTCAGGAGGCTGAGGCAGGAAGATTCAAGTTCAAAGCCAGCCTCAGCAAGTTAGCGAGACCTTGCCTTAAAAAAAGAAAAAAGGTGGGGGGGCGGCTGGGGACTTAGTGGTAGAGCACCCCTTGGTTCAATACCTAGTACCAATAAAACAAAACCAAACCTGTCATACCTTCCTGGACCAGCAAAAGCACACACACTCTTCACTTCCACTCTGTAACACCTCAGCCTGCGTCCCTGTCCCCACAGCCTAGAAATGAGGCCCTGGACTCCATCTGCACACCTACCGTCTTTGGATAATCAGATAAGAAAAGTGATGATACAGAGTGAGGGGGACTGTGGTCACCAAGGGGGTCCATGTGCAGGGCTGAGGAACCCTGAGGAAGGCAGGGCAGAGGTGGAATTGACACTGGCATGGGAGGTGTTGGAGGAAGTGCTGGAGTAGACCAGGGAAGGCAGGTGGGCAGAGTGGCTCTCCCAGGTGGGTGTGGAGGCTCTCAAAGTGCGACCAGAAGGCCACTTGCACTAACAAGCGTGGGACAAAGTTGGAGGTGGTCAGTCACGTGAGTGCAGGGCCCAGCGAAGAGCTTAAGGTTACTGTGCTGGGGTAGCCAGAGGGTGGGGGGTCTGGAGATGCGGGCGACTCAGCTGTGTCCATGCCCCTGGGCACTTGGGGTCATGTGTGTCAGCGCTGGTGGCTGCTGACCTGGGTGATGCTGGCTAACGGCAGTCATCTCTGGGAACTGTGCCTTCTTGCCCCTTGTTCCTGTGTCTGAGGGAATTGTGGGTGCTGGGTCTACTCAGAGTCCTTTCTTCAAATATGATTTTGCCTCCCTGTGCTTCTCTCTCCACGGAGAAGAGAGCTGGCCCACTCACTAAAGGTCCAGACAACGCAGACAGCTGCTGTCCCTCCATCTTTACTTCTGGGTGCCGCCCACCCCCATCTTTTTGACCTACAACCTGTTGATTTATTCAATTACAAAAATTTTAAAATAGAGTGGTAAAACAGCATTAAAAGTACAGTAAGTAAAAACCTCTCCAGTTGGAAGAGGCAGACCTGAACAAAGAGGCCTGAGGCTGCAGGCAGGGCAGACTTGCTGCAGGTGGTGAAGTCCTGCATGACTTCTCTCTCTGCCTGGACACTGCCTCGAGTGACTCTCCAGCGTAACATCCCAGACCAAGTACAACAACTACACTGCCAACAGCTGGGCCTGCTCCCCAGGCAGTGCAGGGGAGGGTGGCCAAGTCCCTGTGGCTGTGGCTCCACCAGCCACTTGGACAGTCCTGCCAACAGCCCACATTAGTGGGCGCTTGGCAAAGTGCAGGCCCACCCAGGGTTTTGCCAGTCTGATCAGACGCTGTCCTATTCTGCTCAACTCAGCACTCACACCCGGCACCTCTGTGAAGGCCACCTAGTATTCCATTGTGCCTTGACCTTGTCTCCCCGGGCAACCGCAAAGTTCAATACAATTATAATAAATTTAATAAATCCTCCAATCATTCATGGGACTATGATTAATCTCCAGCATCAAATGGGAGGATAGTCATTCCCAGCAATGCCATGACTTGGTATTCTTAGAAATATTTCCTTTTCCTTGGAATTTAAGAAAATACATTTTCCTACAAGCACTAAAACTACTCCAGCAACACGAGCCATTCCTCTGGGCCCGTGTGATACCACGAGTCTTACTACAGCACGTGGATGCTATAAGTGGTGTGCAGAGCTAAGTGCAGGGGCTCAGCCTGGGATCCCAGTGGCTCAGGAGGCTGAGGTAGGAAGATCCCAAGTTTGAGTCCAGCTTGGCAACTTAGAGAGGGCCTAAGCAACTTAGATTCTGTCTCAAAATAAAAAACACAAAAGGCTGTGGATATGGGGTCAGTGGTAGAGCATTCCTGGATTCAATCTCCAGTCCAATTAAAAAAAAAAAAAAAAAGTCGCAGAGAACATCTAAAGGGTGATCTGCTTACGAGTGAGTACCTAGCATCTTCATCAGGCTCATTTATACAGTCACTGGGTTCAGAGCGCAAAGGGTTATCTGTTGTTTTGGGGGTACCTCAGGATTACTGTGATGAAATAAAGTCAGATAAGTATATGTTGCTAGAAAACTTGGAACAAAGATGTTTGGCTTGTTTCACTCTAGGAAGTGAAAATGCATGCAGGACTCATAAATGATATGAAATCTTAATAGAAATAAAAATGGCTAACTTTTTAAATGTGTAGTGTTAGGATCAAATCCAAGGCCTTGCCCAGGGTGTGTGGGCACTCTACCCCTGAGCTGCACCCAAGCCAAAACATTTGGAACACAGGTGTTAAGTCTTGCTTTACCCGGAGTGGATTAAAGGCACAGAAGAGAAGCATCAGGCCGGCTCCTAGGGCAGGACCCCACGCTGATGCAGGAGCCCTCCCTGAGTCTTTACCTGAGCAAGAGAAACTTGGCATTTTCTGTTTTGTCTCACTTCACTAAGCAGAGGCTTAAGGCTGGGATCTCAGCCCACACTGAGAAACCCAAAGAAAAACACAGACTGCTGCCCTGCCCTCTTGTCTGGTCAATCTAGTCACTTACCTGTAAATGAAGTATTTTGGATTCATTATTCCGAAGCATTTCCTTTTGTCTCTCAATTTCAATTTCAAAGCTACATATCTGATTGTGCAAACTTTGTATGCTCTTGTTTTTTTCTACGCTTTCATTCTGCAGCAAGGAAACCTGAAAAAGAATTTCTTCAATTAATGTAACAAAAAGTGGTTTGGACACTAATTAACAACAGTGATAATGAAGGTAATTAACTTTTCACAGTACAGGCCTTCTACTGGTGCACTGAAAGGAGTTCCAGGAGAACAAATCCCTCCACACAAAAGACGTGAGTGCAGGGAGCTGTGTGGGGACCCTCCCCCAGCAGTAAGGGTGGGGCGCAGTGTGGCAGAGCGCTGGATCCAGAGTTAATAGGGTGGCTTTTGAGGATCTGCCGGAAACCACTAGCCTTTTACCAGAGCAGCTTTTAAAATTGGACCAGGAAACACAGTAAGAAACAGTCTTACATTTTGCCCATTTGCACCAATACTATGTGTGCACACCTGAAAAACGGGTTTCACAAAACCAGCCTTGCCTGAACAATCTATAATGCGGGGCTGGGGCTATATAGCCCAGCGGTAGAGCGCTCCCCTAGCACGTGTGAGGCTCTGAGTCTGAATTGCAGCACCACATAAAAAAAATAAAGGTATTGATAACTACAACTAAAAAAATAAATATTAAGATAAATAAGTAAAACAAAGGTATTGTGTCCAACTACAATTAAAAAAAAAAAAGATCTATAATGCACCTTGGCATTTTCTGTTTTGTCTCACTTCACTTCAGGCTGCCCCCAGGGGCATCATGCTGAGTGAGACCCACTGCCATGTGGAGCCTGGAAGACTGAAAGGGCAGGAGGTGCTGGTCACAGGCTCAGTTCCAGTAGGAAGAGCACCTGAGATGCTGACCGTGGGACCAGGACACACACACTCCGGGACAGCTAGCAGAGCAGACTCCACGTTCATTCCACAAGAATCCAGGGACGTGACAGACGTGCTGACTGGCTGGTGTGGCCGTCCCTAGGTACACACTGCACCCCACAGCAGTACCTTAGAGGTACCCATGGGCCACTCCTGCACTCTGGACGCCCCAACGCGATGAGAATGAAAAGCCCCACAGGGCGTCAGCTCACCACAGACCAACTCACTAACCCAACAGAGAGCAGGCACAGAACCATCAGTCACCCACCATAGTCACAGGAGGGGCAGCAGGGCCAGCATCTCCAAGTCTACCTGTGACCTCTTCAAAATCTCTCTAAAGAACAATTAGAACTGCCCAAAGGCAAAGTTTATACCCGGTCTCAATAGGCCCTGAGATGAGGGGTCTATGAGGACAGCTCCCACAGGTTTCTCCACAAAGGGCCCCCAGCCCCCAGGAAAAAGCTCCTGGTCACTGCCTGTCACAAGGCACCTCCAGCCAGCCCAGCAGGGTGCTGTCACCCAGCAGCCCTTGGGCCCCAGGAGGGGTCTGCATCCCACAACTCACGCATGACTGAACTGCAGTGAAGAGCCCCCTGAAGCCCCCAGGCCCGGCCCGAGCTCAGCTTAGGACAAATGGAGTACGGCAAGAACTGACTCCTGATGCTGTCCACTCAAAGCGTAGCAGGCCTACAAAACTGAGGGTCCTTTAAGGAAAGAAGCATCTTTGGAGATAACCACAGCCTATTTAATGTTAAAGCAAACCTGCATTTACTCAGGCGTACAAGACTTGCAATGTCCATAAGCAAAACATGACTTCACTTCCCTAGGATCTTACTCAACAAAAATCAACTTTCCTTCCTAAACACACAGGGTCTCAGACGTCACAGACACCTGCAGTGATCAGGGTGGGAACTGCAGATGGGGGCACACGTGGGGCCACAGAGCAGGCTGGCCTCTTCTGAAGTTATGACGCACTCTTTCCCATCTGGTGGAGACAAACTGAATTCCAGACTGTTTATTCTCACCAAAGAGACATTATATATGCCAACTTTTGACAAAAATTTCAGTGGTATCTCCAAAAATAATGACTTTTTTTTTTTTTCTGCAAAAAGTCAAGTACTTGAATAGGAGTAGAAGTAACTTACAGTGGTGAACACATGTCATGCTACACTAAGCTCTGGATTTCTCCCATGTAGGGACTTCCCTCATGTGCCTGCAGATCACTGTTTCTGCCCATCTCTGAGGCAGCTGTTGTCTGCAGGAGGTGAGGGGCCGATGTTTCCAGGAAGCACCATGGGTACACCAGTCAGTGAGAATCACGCGCCCTCCCCTGAATTGAGCTGCAGTGGGGTGCTCTCCACTTCCCTTTCATTTCAGCTTTCTTGAGATACAACATGGATACTTAATAAGGTCCAGATTTTACAACGTTTGCTTTAGTTTGACCATGAATGTGAAGATCCACCCTGCATTTGAACCAACTCAAACATTTTCTGTTTTCTATTGCGATGAACAAAATAAACCTAAGAGTTCCAACAGAATAATTCTATAATGACAAATAATTCCTATTTTAGGAAAATGCAAATATCTTTATTCTAGTCCATCCTTTCCTTTCAGATCTAGGGAAGGGCAAGCAAGAACAAGGCTCAGCCACTCCAAATGCCAGGGCAGGGCCAGAAAGAGACAAATCCTTGAGCAACACCCAAGGGGGTGGCATGTCAAGCATCTCAGCAGCAATGCACTCTATGCATCCTGTGCCCTTAGGACTGTCACCGTGCCTTGGGAGGCATTTACTTAAACATGAGGCCTTTACAGAGTAAGGCTGCTGCATGGTGGGTATAAGCAGTGGGAGTTGTGTCCTGGGGTTCCCAATGGTGCAAAATCATCACTCTGGGTAGGAGGCAGTGGTGCACGTTGTAACCCCAGCAGCTTGGGAGTCTGAGCCAGGAGGAATGCAAGTTCAAGGCCAGCCTGCAGCTGGGGAGATGCTATCTCAAGCCATTCACTTCAAATGAAGGAAGGTAAGGTGGAGTGAAGGGCGGGGCTGGCACACTCTGCTTGCAGCCTGGAAGGTGATGGGGTGATACCTCCCGTAGTATCCTGGATAAACCACAGGCCCAGACCCGCTCAGCACAACAGTAACGAATGAATTCTTAAAATGAAAGGAACAGCCTCTGAGATGAGAAGTAGCAACTATGAGAGACAAGCTTCCGTGACTTATGCCTGTGAGTTTTTTGTTGTGTGTGGTGCTGGGGACTGAACCAGTGCCTCATGCATGCCTGGTAAGTGCTCTACCCTTGAGCCATATCCTCAGCCCCTGTGCCTACAATTTTAAAAAAGCATAAACAGAAGGGATTTTTTCAAAAAGGTGAACCATCCATGAACTTGAAGCAAATCCTGTGCTGATGGGGAGATGGCCTCTGGCTCAGCTACCATGAGCTTCCTATTACTATTCCGTGGGCTTTCCTCCTCCCCTCACAAGTGACTGCACACCACCGCTTACCGCCTCTCAGGTTCATGAGCATTCACATTAGCCAACTATTTTATGCCAGACTTCATGAAAATCTTCTGCTTTAGAATTTTAGACTCTTTGAAGTACATGTATATTAACACTAGAAACAAGATATTCAATTCTTTATCGACCTTTAGAACACTCAAATGTCAACTCCACTGGCTATTCCAACTAATTTTGGTACCTTCCTACTGCAAGTTCTCCACAGATGTGTGACAAACACTGAATTAATCTTTTATTTTGGGGATTATTTTTTTTTTAATTTGGCAGTGCTGGGAATCAAATCCAGGGTCTCAGGCATACTAGGCAAATGCTCCACAACAGACCCCCATCCCCAGCTTTGATTTTTGTAAGTAAGCCACAATGGGAGATCCCATAACAACATCTTCTTCATCAGTTCTTGAAGATTTCATCATCTTCTCCTGAAAATACAGCCCCCAAGAGAACATCACAGAGCAGACTCCACTAGGAAGGAGTGGCCCCAGGCCCCAGCCAAGACCAGCCTCTTGCAGACCGCATGGGAGGGTCTGTCAGCAGAGTGCTATGTGTAGCTGGAGCACCAGAGTTCAGGGTCAGCTGAGAAGGCCAACTGTAGAACTAGGAATGTAGCAATGCTTTTTACCTGTCGCTTAAAAAGACCCCGTTGTAACACATTTAACCTTGTAACATCCACATCAGGGCTGACAAACTGTTCTGCAGGGGCCAGGTACCAAGTGTCCTGGGTGACTGGGTCCACAAGGCTCAGCCTCATGGATCCACTTTGCATGCTCAGTGCCACAGCAGCCCCCGGCAACTGCTATGCTCCAGGTTGGCCGCCTTTTGCCAAACCAGGGGGAGGGGGTATTGGAAGTCCTACCCTCTCTGTTCTAGATCAAGCACAGACAATCACAATGTGATATGAAATAAAGGCATCACATACTTGCTTCACCAGAAAAACAACAACCAAAAGACTCTGTAAGCTCAGGATCACCAAAGAGAATTCACTGGCAATCTCTTGATGCTGCTTCTTTTAACCAAAAACTATTAGTAACTCTGAAAAAGTTTAAATAATTTGAGGAAACCCTACCACCCAACAGAAGATGGGACCAGGGCCTACCTTCTTCTCCAGGGAGTTGCTCCACTCTTTCAGCAAGTTGACATGCTGCACGGCGGAGCTGGCCTCGTGCGCCTTGATCTGCTGGTTTGTCCCCTGTGAGAGCAAAGGCATGTTGTGTGAAGTAATCACCCCACTGCGAAAGGCAGATGACTGACATATGACTCCAGGAGCAGCATCACACACAGGGGGCTATTCATGTACAGCTGCCACAGAATCTGAGCCCCACGAGAGCCACGCCCAGGGCGGCCAGGAGAGCACGTGCAGCCAGGAGGCCGCGGCAGAGAGTGCCAGAACACACCGCACGTGGTGCTGCAGGGCTGACTGCAAGCCCAGGCTCCTTCCTCAACCTCATCTGAGTGGCTTCTTATCAACAGTTCACACTGGTAATGTCAAAAAATTAAATTTTAAACTCATTCTTGTTCCTTTATAAATTGCCTTTCTCATAAAAAATAAAAATAACATGGAAAATGTTCAGACACCTGGAAGCTACAGCGAGATGCTGCAGTGGCAATCCTGCAAAATGCAGCAAAGCGGAGTTCTGAACAACTTCCCTGGGTTCACTGATCAGCTCAAACACACTGCATCCAAAAAGGCACTGCTCCTCACCAGTCCAAGTCTAACTGGAAATTACATACAAAACATGAACGATCTACAGAGTACATAAGATGCAGACCATCTGAGAGTCAAGAAGAGGCACACTGAATAGTACTTTATATATTTAAGAAAATAATTGGCATGAAAATAGAATTTGTTTTGATATTGGAAAATCAAGAAGCCAGAGAAAACATTTTCATGATCTCCAAAACATATACTCTGTACATAGAATATCCATATATATATATTGATATAAGTTCTTCTCCATATCAACATATATATACACATACACAGAGAATGGATGGTACTACGTACGACATACAGGGGTCTCTCCTCAGAGCCTGAAGCAAGGGGCAGCTAGTCATTCTCACTCTCAGCTTCCTACTTCCTCAGAAAATACCCCGAGGCCAGTGTCTCTGTACCGACTTCATCATAATGTACTGGTGATACATAAGAGTAAATGTACAATACTTCCACTGTGACACATTTTGCCTTTTGACATTTTCATGAATATCATTTAAATGAAAACTTAGTCTTAATTCATTAGCAATCTCAGACATGTTAAAAAAAAGAGCCAGAAGCCCGCTGTGGGTTTCCTGCAGTGCACGTGTGGCAGCAACACTGTTTTCTGGGAGGCGTTTCCTACGGGCTGTGCTCAGTTTGGATCTGTCCTGGTGGGGGTCAGAGTCAGTACAGGTGTGTACTTGAATGCATCTAGGGACTTGTGTGTGATCCGTACAGCCGACTAACGGCACATGTGATGTGGAAACCACATCCATTTGATACTCGTTCATGTTCAACTGACTGCTTAAACTTCCACAGAACCCACCAAATGCCATTCCCATCTGTCCCATCACTGGCTGGTTTCAGATGTGGTTCTCCTAATGCACTGACGCCCCCCTCAGCAGTGTCCACCTGAGGTCTCAGAACACCACCGACCAGGCAAGAGAGTACCCACGCCTGCTGCATGTGGCTTTTGTCACCCATGCAACAGGGCGTTTTCGTTTCATGACAAGGACCAAGAGTCCAGAACTTGCATGTTAAAATGTTAATTTAAGAACTTTCTCTCACGGCAGAATGTCAGTGACTGGAAGGACAAATGTCGGATACTGACCTGAAAAACGCAGCCATAGCGCTTAAAGCTACAGGTGCTGGGGGCATTGACACACTCTGACAAGTGTGCACTCAACTGTAACGGGAAAGAGACGTGAGTTGTGGCACAAACGTTTGCATGAAAATGCTTAAACACATTAGGGCCCAGAGAGTCTCTGGGCCATATTAAGAAGGCTGTTTTATCAGCTAAGGTGTGGACGCACCGTCTGTGCGCTACACTCCAGGCAGCAGATATATAGCATTGTCACGTGTATACACATATACACACCAATATACAGAAATACATTCACTGTAACATTTCTTAAACTTGCAGTTTCTTTAGAACAAAATTGTTCAAAATGTGATATGCTGTCTGAAGTGCCAGAATTTAAAAAGGAAAGGAAAAAAAAAAAGTAAACTGAAATGCACATTTAAAGACTATAAACAAAAATTGCATGAAACACAAAAAAAAAAAAAGAAAAAAGAAAGAAGGCATTCAGGATGCAACTGGGTCACACATCTAATATACAGTACACAAAATAAACCCATTCCAATGAAGCTCACACTGCACCATTACTGCGAGACTCGGGTAACTAGAGACGAGCTTCCCCACTGCCTGAAGACTGCTCCCTGGCATGGCCAGAAACTCACCAACTTTTCAAAAACCTCTAAGGCCATCTGAACAACATGAATCTTATGTTGTCATCTCTAACCAAAGGAAGGAAAAATTAGGAGGGGTTGGAAAGCTAATCCTGAAAGAAAAAAAAAAAAAAAAACTCCCATTCAGCCCCAGTATTGGTGAGGCAGCTATTAAAAAGAACGTATTTGAAACTGTCTTATTTGTAAGACATAGACTTATGCACTAGGCCAATGCGACCAGGCCTGGAACGTGCTTTTCCGTATGCTGGCACCCCATGTTGTTATGTCAGGGGGTGCAAGTAGCGCCCAGGGCTCCTCGGTCCACCAGGACAAAGGCACACCAGGTGGATATTTTGGACAGGGGGGAAAATGGATCTCCACCTGCCATGTTCTCTGATGAGAGCTATAGAGGAAGGCCCCAGGAATGCTGGGAGGCCCATGTGGCTCCTGTTACCAACAAACATCGAGAATGGTCTATGAGGTAGGCAGAGTTACCTACTTGTGGTTAAGGATCACACCCTTGCCCTGGACCCAGCAGGAAGCCCTGGGCTGGACTTGGAGGGAAGCATCCAAAGGCACCTGCACGTGGTGGGCATGGAGACACGCATGCATAGGAGGCTGCTCTGGCAACGTTAGTTCAAACCTTAAAAGGTTCTTTCAGGGCCACTGATAGGATCAGGAACATACCCAGCTAGTGCTTCCAATGCTGACATCAGGGACACACTGCATCTGACAGGCTATCTTCAATGTACTACTATAAATTCAGTGTTGTATCTTTTCCTAAATTGGTTTTATTCATAGTACTCTGAGTCTCAGAGTCCTACAGACTTTATAGGAGCTTTGAAACAGAGGCAAGAATAACAGCCCAACAGCTCTTTTCACCAGAAACCAAGAGAAATCCAAGTTCAAAGATTTTTTAGAAAAATAACTTAGAGGCAAAAGAGGCAATTTTTGACCCTTATTCAGAGAGCCCTGGGTGAAATTCAGAGAGTGCTCATAAAACCCTGGTAACTGTTTCAGCAGCACAGACTTTTCTCTATTAGTCTTAACAGAACTGTCCCATTGTGTATGTGATGCTAATGCACTTTACAGCTCCTCCCACAGGCACATTCGGAGGCCCAGAGACTTCTGTCACCAGGCAAGACCTTCACCCATCAAGGTCCTGGGAAAATGCAGCTTGGTTGAGTGTGGCTCTTGGGGTCTTCCCCACACTCTGTTCCCAGCCTTGCTTGGTAGGGACATATGCAGCTGCCCTCTCCTCCAGATCCAGTGGTAGGATTTCAGGCTGCTGGAAAAGGCTGCGTGAGCAGGCTGCTCCGTTCAGAGACAGGGAGCCCAGGGACGGGGTCATCTCTGAGGCTGCCAAGAGCAACCACCGGGATAGATCAGTCACATGCAAAAAAATATTCACAATCCATGGAATTCCTCCATCTGGATATATCCTGATCAGATGAAGTTAACACAAAATCTACCTGTCTCAAAGAAGGCACCATGGGCAATGTGAGACGCACAGTCTGTGGGCAAGCTTCCACCCCACACTTTGTACCCAGGGCTGCCTCTGCCCAGCAGGGTGGTCAAAATGGCTCTGGAATGTCTCTAAGCTAATTTGCTTTCTAGGGATAATGTAATGATTCCCTATTTTGTAGTTTTAAACACAGTGCTTTTTGAAACTTCAAGTGCCACCTTTGCTTCCTTGTAGATGAAGCTTCCCATTCTCTCAATTCTGAACAAAATGTTAACCCTGAATTTACCTTCTGGGCTTTTCTTTCCTTGCTTTTCTGCCACATGTTCATTGAAGAGCAAAGACCTAACAAACCCCAGACTGGGCAGCACAGCTGTACCTTACCTCGCTCCTCAGAAGAGTCTGGACACTGCACTTGTGAGGACAGGAGACCACCACGCAGGGACACTCAGTGTCTTCATGTTTCTACAGAGTAGAACAAAGCACATCAGCCTTGAGACACACAGCCAGTCCTCCTTTAGGCCCCACCTCGATTCCTAGGTGGACACAAAGCACTTGTTCTGCTCAGTCCTCAGCTCTGCAAGTTAGCTCCCTGGTGTGAGGTCTCAGGTCCCCAGGCACGGAGCAGACTCTGACAAGGAAAGGAAGCTTGTGGAAAACAACTACACAGGTGTTTTCCTACTGACAGCTCCCGTAGCAGTGTCCCCATGTCACACTGCTCCAGGCTCATGCAGCTCCACAAGTGGTGCCTGCTCATGCACCCTATTCAGCACCCGCCCCAGGCCTCGGCTTGGGGTCTGGACATGATGTTTCTCAGACATGTGGACATGGCATCACATCCTGGGTTCTAAGCTACTGTTCTGAAATATCACACAGATTTCCCTCAGTGTGTGGGAGAGATGGTCAATTCCAGCTTTGCCTTTCTCTGACTGGTGCACACTGCAGCTCTGCAGAGACTGAATGACGGTGCTTGTTAAACCTGATGCCAGGATACTTGCTGGACACCTGCCAGAGCACCTCCCCTAGGCACAGGAAGGGCAGGACTCTGCTGAGGATACCAAACCCAATGCACGACAAAAGCAGAGCCAGAGATGGAAGTGTCCTCTAAACAACACTGTTGAGCAAGGAACCCAGGCAGAGTTTCCGCAGCAACCCTGGGTCTGTGGTCCTCACAGGTCTGTGGGAGGCCTCCTTTGGCCTCAAAGTGCTGCTGTTATTTAGGTGCATGAATGGGGAGGGCACCTGTCCCAGCCTCAGTGTGTCAGAGCCAAAGAAGTGGCCCACACAAGGGAAGTATGTGCCTGGACCTAGGAGGCTCTGCTCCTCTGAGGAAGGCCTGGGCCAAGCAGCAGACTCAGCTTTATTTGGTGTGTTTCTAAGGCTCTTGACCCTCTGAGCATGCATGGTGGGCCTGCAGTGCAGAGGGGGAAGCCCATGAGGTATAGGCTATTCTGCTCCTGATCCCGGGCCTTGAAGCCTGCAGAGTGCAAGTCCAACGCCATCCCAAGCTCATTAGTAGGCCTTAGTAGGGTAAAGCCTGAGCAGACTTTCCTCAGAGAGAGCACTGCATGGGGACCTCAGCACCAGGTTGAGGACACCCACGCTGCTGGCTGGGTGGATTCCAAGTTCCCAGGGACCTTGAGGTAAAGGCTTTTTGTGGATTCCAATGGTCTCACCAATATGATCTGAATCCTTCATAAGTAAACGGGGAGTGATCAGCCCACTTTCCCAGGGTGCTGAGGGCCGAATCAGGGCAGGCCTGCAGAGCTGAGTGCTAGCTCTGAAACAGGGTGAAGGCTCCACAGAGACTTGGCCCTCTCCCTGGACCTGGGGGCTCATAACCTGATTCACCCTGCTGGTGCCCAGATCACACAGGACAGTGCTGAGGGAAGTTTAGGGTGGTGCTAGGGCAGAGTCTAAGGACAGCAGGGCTGGAGGCCAGAGGGGCAACACCTTGGCATACTTTTTAAAGTCTACACAAGGCTATCTGCCAACTTCCAGATGCAGAACTGCGAGAGTAAATCACTGCTGTTTCAAGATCCCAACTCTGTACTGATTTGCTACATTAGCCAAGTACTGCAAAGTAAAAAGACCTGTCAATCTTCTTTAATTTTGAGTACTCTTTGCATATTAATGAATCAGTCTTGTTTATAAAAGAAAATTCAACTTCGAGATGGACACCCATGAGGCCACCACCTAGGTAAAATATGTCCACCTTCCACCTCCCTGTTCCTCCTCCCCACCTCAGCCTCAATTTCCTCTAGGAGAGACCCTAGGCCACAAGCCTTCATTTTCTATCCTATTTCCTAGCAAAGTTTTGTTACACAAACAAGTTTTGTTAGAAAACACTGCTTGATTTTGACTGTTTTTGAATCTTATTAAAATGGAACTCTGGACAGGAGTCCCATGTGGCGGGCTGTGTCCTGCTTCTGTGACTGACCCACAAACTGCACAGAGTTTGCAGGTCCCTTATGTCCACCGTCCTTGTCACATGCTGCATGGCTCTATGATGAAGCTGTGACATATTTTCACTGCCTTGTCACACATTGCAGGGATCCCACACTGAGGTGCTCTTGTCCTCTAGCAGGGGCTCAGACTGCTACCGGATTCTGTTGCTCTGGTCACAGCTGGCCAAACTTCCTGGTGTGCGTATACAACAATTCTGTCTGTGTACCCAGGAAGGGCACTGCCAGCTGACTTAGCATGAATGTTCAACCTGATAAAACACTACCAGCTGCTTTCCAAAGTGGCCTTGCACAAACTGCCACCAGAATATATTTATTTTTCCACACAACGAGGTCTTTACAATCCTGATTTTCCACAAATTAATTGAGCTGTTTAAAGACACATAATAATTTCTAGAATAAGAGAACACAATTCTTCTGACACTTTAAATTGTGCTGATTAAATATGGCAAATAAAGGGCTGAGGATATAGCTTAGTTGGTACAATGCCTGCCTCGCATGCACAAAGCCCTGGGTTCGATCCCCAGTACCACACACACACATAAAAAGGCAAATAAAACTTGGAAATAGGGGGCTGAGGTTGTGGCTCAGTAGTAGTGCGCTCGCCTAGCATGTTCAAGGCATTGGGTTCGATCCTCAGCACCCCATAAAGATAAAAACAAATAAAAATAAAGGTACTGTATCCAACTACAACTTAAAAAAACTTGGAAATAGTTGATACCCTGTCCCACAGTTTAAACATAGAACAGAAATCCTCAGAACATTGCAAGGATCCAGAGCTTCAATGCTTTACTGATGCATACTGGGCCAACATTTGATATAGTTACACACCACACGTGCCTGTAATCTTAATGACTCAGGAGGCCGAGGCAGGAGGACTATAAATTTAAGGCAATTTAGCAAGACCCTATCTCAAAATAAAATAAAGGGCTGGGGTTACTTCTCAGTGACAGAGTGCCCCTGGGTTCAGTCTCCAGGATTACTTCAAAACAAACAAAAACAGGAAATAGGATGGCTGAGGCTTTCTGTCTGCATACATTAGATAGCTGCTCTTTTTAAAAATAGACTTAAGGCCTGAGAGGATGAGATTAAATGTGTTAGAAGATGAGATTAAGAGTGTTAGAGTGGAAAGACCAAAGGATCTAGGAATCCAGTCAGGCCACTGAAGGGAGAGGAGGCCCAGGGCAAGTCCCAGCACCTTCCTCGGTGTGTGAAAAAGTCCCTGTGCACAGTATTGCCCAGGTGCAGGAAGGGCGGGCACCCGCAGTGACCTTGAACACATGGGCTCCTCAGAACCTTTACTGGCTCGGGGGAAGCATGGCAGACTTGAGATGGACTCTAGGACCCATGCTGCACGCCCAGAAACAGCACGCCCAGACCTTCCATCACAAGAGAGTACTAAGACCTCTGTCACCTCTTCACATAATTCAGGCAACAATCATGCTACCAATCGCTCCACACCTGATCACCCTGTCTGTGGCTGATGAATTCAAGAGCCAGGTCAAAACACATGCCACCTGCTCACTGAAGCCCTCCTTCCCTGTCAGTTATAGTCATGGTGCTACCCTCGCCAGGGGATCCAAAGAGTGTCCTTGGCCGTCTGCCTCCCAGAGCGCATCCAGAAGGAGTAAGACTATCAATTATTCTCACGTAAGACCCAAGGGAGGAACACAGGGTTTGGGCCCGACAGGCCCTCCAGGGAATCGGGGATTGAGCCCAGGGGCATTTACCACTGAGCCACATCTCCAGCCCCACCCCCAACTATTTCTGTATTTATATTTACAGATAGGGTCTCGTTGAGTTGCTTAGGGCCTCACTAAGTTGCTGAGGCTGGCTTTGATCGTGTGATCCTCCTGCCTCTGCCTCTCGAGCCACTGGAATTACAGGTATGGGCCACTGTGCCCGGATGCCATGCCAGATCTTAGCAGCTGATGTCGCCTTGTCTGTGCCCATTCAGTTACATATTTGGTGTTTAACTGACAGGCTCTACAATTCCTTCTCAAACAAAAATTAATTGCTGGATTCTATGTTCCAAATAATTGATTTTTGCAAGAAGCCAAGTATAACTTCAATAGCAATATATTAACAAGTGTAAGGCCTGAGGTGCGATTCATTAGGTACGTCTCACTCACTGGAAGGTCACTCTTGGAGGAACTGCTCGCTTACAACAAGTAATACTGCTATTTCCCAACTTGCCTAAACATTCTCAGTGACTGGGAAATCTATGGTATCCCATAAGAGAAAAAGAATTCCCAGTGCAGGAGAGGCCGAGGCCCAGGATGGTGACAGGAGGTAAATTACACACAGATGGTAAAGCAGAACACATTTTATTTTATAGGGAAAAATCTAGGGCAAGAAAACTTTCTCTAAGTTATAGCTATTGAGTACTCCAGAATATGCACACAACAAGCTCTCTGGGGGCCCTCATGCCCTGGCCACGGCTTCCTCTGCCTTGGGGATGCCACTCTACCCTTCCTTAAGTCTACTTCTCAGCTGATGACCACCCCTCATTGACAATCTGGAAGGTGTGCCCAGGCCTCTGTGAACTCTGGCCCTACTCACAGTGCCACAGCCGCAAGGAGCACCAATCACAAGTCTGCAGCCTGGATCACTTCACTCCACTGCTCTGCCCCTGAGCCTATTACCTCTATTATACTGCAGTCAAGGGACACCCCAGTCCACTAGCTGATCCTGCCACAAGGGCTGGCCTCATCCTTGCCCCAAACTCAGCTAAGCCATTGGCTGATCCTATTGCCCCACCTTCAAGACATACTGCAGTACCACTGTGCCCCTACTGCCTGCACACCTGCCTCCCCAGCTCAAGGCAACCCTGTGCCTTTCCCTCATCCTGGTGTTCCATGCAGTTCCTGAAACCCACGTGCCATCTCAGATTCAGACCCCAGTGCTCCCAAGCAGGCCTCTCTACACAAACCACCCAACTGCCTGGGAAGCCAGCCCTCGCCATCCCTGGCCTTACGCCAGGTAAGCTGCCTTCACAGTTGTGTATTATTATCTCTTCAAACAAGAGGGTGAGCTGCTGAGGATGCACTGTCTCTTGGAAGGGTCCTGGCAAACCGTGGGCACACAGCAAGCCTTTGCTCAGTGAATGGACTGATTTTTAAAGTCTATCCTCCCCACTCAATAGCTCTCCTTTCTCTTTAATTTATACAGAAGTGACATGATTCCAGCACACAGTACAGAATCATGCCAAAACAACCAGAGCAGGAAAACATTTTAAATTCTTCTCTCTCCAAAGCAGACAGCTGAGCTTCAGCACTGCAGGACAAACCAGCCTGCTGTGAGGAATGGTTATGTCATGCAGCTGTGAAAAGATGAGCACCCCATCACAATTTTGAGGCCTTTCTCTAAGACACATTACAAATTCTATTGTTTTTGAACAATCATTCTTCATATTTTTGACACCCCAAATGATATTCGATCAAGGAAATAAAAATGTTAAATATATAAATCAAAATAGGCAAAACAAATATAGCTTTACTCTGAAATAAAGTTAGATGAAAAGTGCTAACTAGTCCTCCTCGCTCTCTAAGGCCATCAGAATCATCATTTAGAAAGCATTCTGCAGGGTGTGTGTCTGAACATACAGCGGGGAGAAACCAGCAATGCTGGGCTGTGAATGAACCATTTTGTCCCAAGTTTTAAGCTGGGTAACAATCTTTACAGTCTTCACGCACCTGCAGTGTGACCATCGGGACTTGGCTTTTGCAGTGATTACATGTGGCCTCACGGTATTTACATGCCTTTTCCACGTGATCGCGCAGGTCTTTTCTTAAGACTTTTTCTTTACAGTCGGCACGGACACAGGGAAGTTCCTCAAACTGGCAGTCATTTTTTAGATGCACCTGTAGGACAAACCACTCAAAAATTCTTAACTGGCAAAAAAAAAAAAAAAAAAATTAAAAAATCAGTCTGAAATGCAGAGTCTAACCTCTATGCAATGAAAACTCACAGAAAGCACCTTCGGCTCTTCAGGGTTAGTGGTGGCACTAACTGTCACTGAGGCACTCACTATGCTCAGAGTTCCTCCACATGCTGTGGAAGAGAGTTGACGCTTCCTCCCAGACAGAGATGGTTGGGTACCAGCTAAGAACTTCCCTTTATTTCAATCCAAACATCCTCCCAGGATGAAACAGGATACTAATTCTAAAAAGAACATGGAGGACTGGTGTTGTAGCTCAGTGGTAGAGCACTTGCCTAGCACATGTGAGGCATAGGGCTGGATCCTCCACACTACAAAAAATAAACAAAATAAAGGTATTGTGTCCACCTACAACTTAAAAAAAGTTAAAAAAAAAAAAAAAAGAACACGGAAAAAATCCATGTGGAATTTCATTATGAAAAAAGGTTTCATGTGCCTTGCAAAATTAAAATCCAACCTAAATCCTCCTGCTAGGGCAGGCGGATTCCAAGTTTGAGGCCAGCCTTACCATCTTTAGCAAGACTCAGTCTCAAAATAAAAAAATAAAAAGGGAGGGGACAGAGCTCAGTGGTAGAGCACCCATGGGTTTAATTTCTGGTACCACCAAAAAAAAAAAAAAAAAAAATCCAACTCAGGCTTTCAGGTTTCTCTCTATTCTAATTAAAGTAGGCATGCCAACAACTCTACCAATGGTATCATAAAAATAACACTGTATGCCCCAGAGGTCAGACCATTTTCCTAGAGACTGTGTGTTTTAATGTTTATGGTACAAAGTATTGGGACAATTTCATCCATGCATATATTATGCTTTTTAAAAAAATATTTTTTAGTTGTCAGTAAATCTCACATATGCCAGGCAAGTGCTCTACCACTGAACCACAGCTCCAGTCCGCCAATATCACTCCTGATCATCATCCACCTTTCTTCTATCCTCCCCAAGACAGTGATTTAAAAACTTTTATTTATTTATTTTTTGCTACTGGCAACTGAACCCAGGGGAGCTCTACCACTGAACCACATTCCCAGCCCTTTTTATATTTTATTTAGAGACAGGGTCTTGCTAAGTTACTTAGGGTCTCAATAAGTCCCTGAGGCTGGCTTTGAAATTGGATCCTCCTGCCTCAGCTTCTTGAGTCACTGGGATTGCAGAGAGGGACCTGAATTCCTCAGCAGGAAATTGTCTGGTGCCACAGACACCTACCAGCAGCTGACCCAGGGTTAACTGCTCTGCACATCCTCTGCTCTCGTTCCGACAGTAGATCTGAAGGGCTAGGATCTCTCTCTTGCAGCAATTGTCTTTAAACACCTAAAAATGAAAGATGGTTATTTTAGAGGATTAATATTTCTGAATCTCCACATGCTACTGTTTTGGACAAGGCAAACCACTCTTTAAAACTCATGAGAGGGGCTGGGGTTGTGGCTCAGTGGTAGAGCGCTTGCCTCACATGTGTGAGGCACTGGGTTCAATTCTCAGCACCACATGTAAATAAATGAGTAAAATAAAGATCCGTCACACTAAAAAATATTTTTAAAAAACCTCATGAGGGGCTGGGGATGTGGCTCAAACGGTAACGCGCTCGCCTGGCATTCACCATTCGCGGGGCGTTGGGTTCGATCCTCAGCACCACATAAAATAAAATAAAGATGTTGTGTCCACCGAAAACTAAAAAATAAATATTAAAAAAAAAAAAACCCTCATGAGAGCAACTCTGAAAGTAGACCTCAGAAAGTACAAAGGATGCTCTTAATTTCTACAAGTGGAATGAAAGAGCTGTACCAGCAAGAAACAGGGTTCAAGTCACACGCCCAATGACAACTATCTTCTAATAGATGAGCCCAAAGAACAGGAATTACATTGAACCGTTCAAGGTCACTCTGAAGCACCCACCATTCTCCCTTTCATCTTTTATTTTCAGACAGTTGAGAACTTCTGACATAACTTGAGTTGTGGAGGGCTGGGCAGGCCCAAGCACAGGCCGCGCTCTGTGGGGTCACCTTCTAACAAAGGACCCCACGGACAGGCTAGTGATATAGGTTGCTTGCTAGGAAACCAGGCCAATTACTGCATGGGACCATATTTTAAAATGATTTGTAAAACATTTATTTTGGTTTCTTTTCGTGAATGCTGCTTATAATTCATATTAATCCCAAAATGAAGCTTTTAAATACATAGCACAAAGGTCCGTTAATAATGGAATATTTCTTTGAAAATAAAAACCTGCCTAGATTTAATTTTATTTTCCCCTAGAAAACAAATGCTCTCCCTCTAACAGTCCACAGTATCTCACCCTCAGAAAGATCCTGAGAAACTCCCCTCTGTCCACCCCAGGCTTGAAGGAGGGAAACAGGCACTCAACAGACCTTTCCTAGCCCCCAGGCCAAGAGCAGATTTAGCAGCTTGAAAAAACTGATTTGGAGACAATCTAATCCCTCATAAACATGATTTTTAAAAAGGTCACGAATTAAGGTTCAAAAGTCATCAAAACAGCTATTTTTCTATGCCACTAAGTTCCCTAAGTTGTTGGAGTCTAAGCTATTAACAAAAAAGCACTGATTGAAAACAACCAGAGTAGCCAAGTCAGAGTCTGCGCTGAAAAGGTCTGAGATCACTGACTCCAAGGTCCCTTTTCCAGGTAAGAAGCCTGAAGGCCCACACCACGTGGGGACTGCTGGGTGCTCCAGGTCCCCTGGGGCCCCACTGGCTCTGCTCTGACCATGAGGACTTATGGCTTTACTCTGTCTTATTAATGATTCTTCGGCAAAACTAGTAATCTTTCCTTAGCTATCAATGTCACTGAAAAATAAAGATCATCATTCTGAATAACAAAAGAGACCAATAGCCCCCTTAACCTGTGATTCCAACCCCCTCAGTCATGCTTGTCAGGAGTGTGTGGGCACCTTCACAGTGAGCAGGTCGAGCAACTGCCGTTCTGGTGATCACTGACCTAAGTCTTTAGCAGAGGAATGCTAAGAAAGGGTATGGGGGGGGGGTGAGCCAGTTTCCTTTCCAAGCCTTCCAGAGCAGGTTCCAGTGAGTGCCCTGTCCCCAGCAGACCAGAGGCATCTGCTGCCAGTAGACTCACACTTTACATTTACCTAGACTGCCCTGACTGACAAGTTCAACTTCTGCAAGTGCTTAAGACAGCAAAACCCTAGAGCAGGAATCTTACTGTACAATTTAATGACTTACATTAAAAACTTGTTAGGTTCATTGATCAAAATATTGGAACCACATACATTTTTATTGATCTTTAAGTGCTTTAAGAATGAGTCCTTTTAAACCACAAGTGTGCCCGGCAGGGCTTGGCAGGGCTCAGCAGGGCGTGGATGACTGCCTTAGGCCCCAGCGGGAAGCCGGTGGGTGAGCCAGTGGGTGAGCTAGGTAGCCCTTTGCACCCTAAGTGGGCAGGGACATCCAAGGGCTCTGGCTGGCATGGACACTGCCTGGGAAGAGGACAGAGAACAACTCAAAGGAGCCCCTCACACTAGCGCACATCTGAAGGTACCATCTAGCCTAAGGGCTGAGCATCAACTGATGACTACAGGAGCAGACCACAGACGGCCCTCGACAGCACCTCACTCACACCAACTCCCTGACTCCTCATAAACCTCTGGGGTCTTAGCAGGTGACACTTTGCTGTTACAGCAAGATGGGCTCAGAGGTCAAAGTGCCTCACAGGGGACACCCAGGGATCTGATCCCCCTCCTCTGCCCAGGTGCTTACATAGTGCTGGGCCTCAAAGCCTGCTGCACCACCTGTTCAACCCGGGATGCAACTGAGCTCCAGAGCCTCCAGTGTACCAAATGCAGACCACGTGGAGAGGTGCCCAGCTTAAAACTCCTGACAAAACAGTTCATTCACAGCCCAGTATACCTTGTCTTTAACGATGCTTTCTTGACACGCTGTACATTTTGGACTCGAGGAACTGGAAAAAACACAATAGTGACGTTAGAGCAGAGTCCCTTTCTCACTGGGCTACCTGGACACGAGGACCCACCCCCTTTCTGGTCAGGCGCCAGCTTGGGCAATAGGCAGAGCATCAGGATGCCACGGGCAATCTGGTTTAAACATGAAGCCTCTGGAGAGAAGGGCAGAATTCTTTTTTAAATGGTAATTTTTCAAAAGGAAGCTATTAAGTACAACAGCTTAGTTCAATTCCCTTGGAAAGCCCCTCCTAAAGCACAGGAAAGCGCCATGTCCTATGGGAAGGCCAACGTGCTGCTGCGGGAGGCTGGGTGCTCCTGCCCCGACACCAGCCAGTTCTTGCTCCACAGTGAACCTTCTCTGCTGCATGTTGAAAGGCCAGTGCCAGGTGGAGGGGAGCTGCCCTCCCTGTTTGCCACAGGCCTCTCCTGGGCCTGAGGTGCAGCTGGGCCCTGGGCCCCCGGCTGGGGGACATCAGTGCTGAGCCTGTGGTGCCATTGCTTTCACCTTGCCCCCAGGTTGGGCAAAGCCAAGCTGGCTACCTAGGTTAGGTGGGCAAGACCACAGTAGTAAGACAGGATGGGTGACAGCTGGTGGCGGGGAGACAGTCTGGCTGCTGGGCTCCCTGGGGCTGGGAGCAAGCACATCTGGGCAAGGCTCTGCCTGTACCATATGCTGACTCTACCTCCCTCCAGCATGTGCAGTAGAGCACCTGTACACACACTTGCTGGTGCCCGTCTGCCCACAGAACACTGAGTGCCTCAAACACAACTGCCACAGAGGTAAGGACACCATGGTTTTGTGGACAGAGTGGCCAACATCACCAAGGGAGGCTTCACAGGATGGAACTGGGGAGGATGCAGGGCAGGTGGGGCAGGTACAGGGTGACCTCAGAGACTCAGGCATGGGATCCCACGGACTTTCCCCAAAGGACTCACAAGCTGGGCAGAGACTCATTCACTGCCTCTGGGCTTCAAGCCGTCAAGGTTGACTTTTACTTTTGAGAGAAATGAAATGGAAGGAAGGAGAGGTGGAAGAGCAGGGGCAGGCATAGCAGGCTGCTGGCAAGGCGTGGTACTTGGGGACCCACCTCAGCAGGGTGGCCATGCAGCTTTCGCAGAACCGGTGCCCACACTCGGTCTGCCTGGGGTTGCACAGCACCAGGCGGCACTTCTCACACTTGTACTTGTCCTCCACGGCCTTCACAAACTTCTCCTTATAGCCTCCTTGCTCCGGGACCAGCACAGACACACTGCGGTCGGGCTGCAGCTTCAGTGGGGGGTTGGTCTGCAGTGGGCCCACGGAGTCCATCTTTTTACTCGACTCCATTTTAGGAAAGAGAAATTCTGCCAGGAAAAGACAATAGATCAAGAGAGCGCCACCCTGTCACCCCAGGCAGGGAAGGAGCAAACAGCTCTGGAAAAGCAAAAGTGTCCGAGAGACCCCTATGATCCCTTCTGCCTGTCCCTACAGGCTGCGAATGGGACGAGATTAAATGGCTTCTTTCTGTGATGGTATTTCTATCTGAATACTACCAGTACTACCACCAAAAATACTCCCTAGGGGTATACCGGGGAAACTATATTCTCAAGGTACTTTAAAATGTACACAGTACTCTGTTCTGTCATATTTCAAATCCTATGCATCTTTCCAATATTTAGGTCAAAGCAGTAGCCACTGTCAGTCAATTTTATATCCTGGTTAACTTTACAGCATGATTCCAGGTGTCTCTGTCACACCATGATGACACTGCAGTCAAGCCCAGACCAGAACAGTATGACGCATCTCCACGCAGTGCTGGCCATGACTGATGTACTTCCAGAAGTCCAGCAACACTCCTAATAAAGTGAAGCCCCACCTTGTGCCCACTAGCCCTCAAGCTCTGCTTCTGCCCCCAACTGTGGCTTCAGCAAGTCCTGAATCACCCTGACTAAGCACTCTGCATTACTGAGCGCTGGGTGGGCCCCTCTGCAGGGCATTTTCTTTTTCTTTTCTTTTTTGTGGTACTAAGTATTGAACTCTAGAATGCTTTACTACAGCTCCATCCCCAGACCTTTCTATTTTTTTTTATATTTGGGGACAGGGTCTAAGTTGAAGATGCTGGCCTTGAACTTGCACACCTGCTTCAGCTCCTCCTGCTTCAGCCCGCTTACCTGCTGGATGTGCTTGCTGTGCTCTGCCCCCAGGTTGCAAGGCATTTTCACACCAAGGCTGAGAGGTGTACATGGCAGGGGGCCCTTTGCACATGAGGCCAAGGGTCAGGTAGATACTAAGATGTCTAGCAACAGGGCTGGCAGATGGGACACTGAATTGGATGGGGTCTCCTGTGCCTCTGGGCAGGCTCTCCTACTGCACCTGGCTCAAAGTTTCTCTGCAAGGATGACTGCCTCCCACCTGCAAGTCCATGCACTGGTAAAGTAAGCACTACTAAAAATGAGGCACCGAGTCTCTGTCCACTGAAACTGTGAGGTCAAGTAAACAAAAATCATCACAAAGCAGCTGCATAAAGTTCCTAAGGAAACATTAGCTTAAATGACAATTATACTATGCATTAATGAATATGAGCCTAGCTGGGTGTGATGGCAGCGGTATGGGAGGCTGAGGCAGAAGGATTGCAAGTTCAAAGCCAGATCAGCAAAAGTGAAGTGCTAAGCAACTCAGTAAGACTCTGTCTAAATAAAATACAAAATAGGGCTGGGGATGTGGCTCAGTGGAGCCTGAGTTTAATCCCTGGTACCTACCCCCCCAAAAAAAGAATAAATATGAATAAACTAACCCTTCTGAATATTTGCTGATACATTTATCTAAAGCACATTTTAAATGTTTCCAGATGGTGGTATAAAGGCTGTTTTTTCTAATTTTCTGGATATTATTTCAAAATGAATCGGTTCCCTGGCAGGTGAGGTGGTGCATACCTGTAATCCCAGTGGTTTGGGAGGCTGAGGCAGGAGGATTCCAAGTTCAGGGTCAGCCTCAGCAATTTAGCAAGGACCTCAGCAAATTAAGGAAACCCTGTCTCAAAATAAAAAGGACAGGGAATGCAGCTCAGTGGTAGAGCACCCTGGGGCTCAATCCGCAATGTGTGTGTGTGTGTGTGTGTGTGTGTGTATGTGGGTGTACACCAAACACCAAATTCTTTTTTGTTTGTTTTGGTACTGGAGAGTGCACCCAGGAGTGCTTTACTACTAAATCCCTAGTATTGACTTTTGAGACAGGGTCTTACTAAGCTGCTGACACTGGCTTCAAACTTGTGATCCTCCTGCTCAGCCTACAGGCACTGGGATTACAGATGTGTGCCACAGTACCACACATGTGACAAAATTGACTTTTGAGACAGGGTCTTACTAAGCTGCTGACACTGGCTTCAAACTTGTGATCCTCCTGCTCAGCCTACAGGCACTGGGATTACAGATGTGTGCCACAGTACCACACATGTGACAAATTTCACTCACAAGATCCAGTGTCCACCCCAGGCCCAAACCTCCTCTCTTCAGGGAGAGACTCAGAGGGGCCACTGTACACCTCAGACCAGCAGGGCAGACACAGGGATTTGAAAGGGAGCAGAGCCAGCTCCTCCCGCTCCTCTGAGCTCTGTTCTTGTGCTGCTTCTTGCTGCCTCTTTCTGAGGCTCAGAGAATGAATGTTTTGTGGCTGGGGAGGGATCAAACCACTGCCAACAGCACAACACCTGACAGATTCATGATGTGGTGGTGAGGCCACACCTAGGTTAGCTTTAATAAAATACAATGTGGCTATGGAAAAGTGCGGGCACCTGTGTGAAATCTGGGGACCTGTGAAAACAAAAAAAGTTTTCAAGATGACCTCAAAGGGTCAGTGACTCTTCTTTAACCAGAATCCCGTCCATTTGGATGCCTGCTAATCTTTCCTAACTAAGAAAGGATCCAGGGCTAACTGCATCCAATGAAAGGGTTGGCCGGACCCAACCTGCTTCCCACTACCTGCCCCTCAGATACTTTAGCTTCCCAGCCCTGGCCTCTGACAGGGTATTGATAAACTGCCCAGGCTTGGGGCTGGGGTTTGGCTCAGTGGTAGAGCACTGGTCTGGCATGTGAGAGACACTGGGTTCGATTCTCAGCACTGCATATAAATAAATAAAATAAAGGTCCACTGACAGGTAAAAAATATTTATTTAAAAAATAAAAATTGCCCAGGCTGCCTGGACTTGTGATTCTCTTGGCTCAGTCTTCTGAATAGTGGGGATTACAGGTGTGTGACCTGCACCTGGCTTATAAATTGCTTTTTGTTGAAATTACATTGCACTCATGATGGTTGTCTTCTGGGTTTTGCTACATATTTCAATGTTATTTTTCACATGCAAATAGTGTGAAGAGATTTTCCTACATGAGAAAATACTGGTTATACAAGATAACACACCACGTGAATTAACAGCTTTTGTAATTGAGAAGCTAACAACTGCCTAGCTACATTTCTCCCCCAAAACACAAACTGAGTCTCCAGTGGAAATATATTCAAAGCTAAAGAGACAAAAACAAATAAAAGACCGAGTCCACACCCTATCAAGGGAGCCCTGCCTCACTCAGCACCAGCGCCACTTTTGGAGCCGGACAACATCCTGACTGTGTTCCTCAGAACGCCAACTTTAAGAGCCATGGTTCAGGCTCCAGCTACCTGAGCCAAGGTAAGCTACTAGGGGCAGGGTGGAAAGGGTGAGAAGCAGGGGACGCCGAGTGAGGAGAGGTGCTCCAACTGCTGAGGTGCGGCTCACCATGATGGACGCCCAGCTCTGCTCAGGCCAAGCTGGCTGTTCCTGGTGTGGTCTGGGAAGGACCGTCCTGAGGTCAGCCTTCCTGAACACAGGTCTGCTCATTTGGGTAAGCACACAGCAACAGAGCTGCAGGAGACACGCTGACATGTGTTTTAAGATACCAGATTCACTGCTAACCTGTCTTTGAACAGGATGGGCCAAAGGGTATTTATGTCCTCCACCAGCCAGGGAACGACTGAACACTAGTTGGAGGGCAATGGCCTCGACAAAACACCAGGAGCCCCCACTTGACCTTGGCCTCGCCACATTTCTGGGTAGTGCTGTGCTCCACACTGCTAAGCACAGGGTCCTCGGGTGTACGCCCACCCAAAAAGCCCTGTGAGCAGGACAGTGCTCCAGGGCACCACCGGGCCCCGTGCAGCCCACTCGCAGGCCCTCGTCAGGTCAGGACTCTGCAGAGGCTGGCCTCAACCACCACCCTCATTTCAGTGCCTACTATGGGGGCAGCAATGTATCACCTCTGTGCCTACTGTGTCAGGGGACACAGGGAGGACGGAAACTGAACCTGTCCTCAGAGAGCTTCGAGGGGATGGGGAGGATGGGTGGAGAGGAGGGGCCTCCAAGGTCAACAACTGAGTGTGAGCACTGTACCAGACACACAGGGTGTCTCTTCAAAAGAGGAAGCCCCCACCTCTGCTTTGGAGCATCCTGGGAGTTCCCAAGTTGGGCTGATGGCTTAATTCCAATTTTCCAATTCCAGCAGAGGAAGAGGAAGATGTCAGAGACACCCGCAAGCAGGTGGCCATGGATGGGACCTGGGGTTTACTTTGGTACTGGGGATTGAACCCAGGCGAGCTCTCCCACTGAGCTTACATCCCAGGCCCTTTTCACTTTGAGATAGAGCTTCGCTAAATTGCCGAGCCTGGCCTGGAACTAGCAATCCTCCTGCCACAGCCTTCTGAGTTGCTGGGTTTACGGGTGTGCACCACCTCCCGTGGCTTGGGATTGGGGTTTCTTGGGAAGATGACATGATTGCAGATAAGACCCAGGTGGGTTGAGTGGTGCCAGGGCAGGATTTGGTCCACATTGGGGAGCCAGCCAGACAGGGCAGCTGGCTGTGAGCAGGCCTGGGTGGGAAGATGGCCTACTGTCACTTCTGTCTGGCCCAGCACTTGTCCTCTGAGCCTTACTTTTTCATGGAGAAGCAGACACTACCTAATTCTCACAGAATTATCAGACATCACTAGGATAACACATGCAGAATCCCCTCAAACTCTTCCGCACCATACGAGTAAAAGATGGATCTCCCTATGAACTGGGGTCAGGAGTCTGTCACGGTTGGGGCTGGCTCCTCATCTCAAAGCCTTTCTTCACTATGTTTTTCATCACTTAGGCAAAAAGAAACAAAAAGCATCCACACTGGAAAGGAAGAAGTAAAACAATTCCTAGTTTGAGATGATATGATCTTATATGAAACAGAAAATCCTCAGGAACTGATCAAAACCTAGAACTAACAAACTTATTTAGCAAGAATATAGAATACAACAATATATAAAAATTAATAGCAATTATAGCAACGGACAACGTGAAAATGAAATC